GTTATGATATTGAAGCTCACAAGGCTCTTATAAAGGAATTCGATAGTCCTATTCCTGCAGATGGGTGTGTATTCAATAATAAACTTCAAGATGAAAATAAAACTCAGATATCCATCACAGATTTAATTAAATTATTAATATCATTACTTACTCATTTTAACACAAATTCTTCTTCAGCCCTTCATTTACCGTCCAACGCAGTTTCTTTAATTTCAACTTTGATCGAAGGCTTACAAAATGGACAATCAAGCTAATATTATGCAATGGAATTGTCAAAGCTTAATAAGTAAAAAAAGCGAGTTAATTTTTCTTGTGAATACATATAATCCTTTTGTTTTTGTATTATCAGAGACATGGCTTAAATGTCATCTAAATTTTAAAGTCAGTGGATATACTACCTTACGAGAAGATAGACCAGATGGCTATGGAGGCGTAGCCATACTCATTAAAGAATCACTTTCTTTCACACCTATTCCTCTGCCCTCTCACCATAAAGATATTTCAATAATTGCTGTTAGGGTTTTTAACAAATGCATTGTGTCTATATATATTTCCCATCCATCTATTCCTGCTTTAAATGAACTTCGTTTAATTCTAAATAATTTGCCCAAACCTTTTCTAGTACTAGGTGATTTCAATTGCCATCATCAATCGTGGGGCAGTTCTAATACAAACAATTATGGGGATGAATTATTAGACATCATTGATTGTCATAATATTTGTATCTTAAACACTGGTGAAGCTACACGTGTAACAAAACCAAATCAAAATAAAAGTGCTGTTGATCTGTCATTATGTTCTCCTAGTCTTGCATCTTCTCTTTCTTGGCAGATACTTTCTTCATCATATGGTAGTGATCATTATCCTATTATTATAACTTTTCCTTTCTCTAAACCTTCAAACCCCTGTCGAATCTCCCATCTCAAACATAGGCTTCCAAATAAAGACAGTAAAGACTGGGAAAAATTCACAACTTCAGTTCAGTCAAAATTATATTTGCTCCCTAACATCAACTCTAGTTCTGAGCCTGAAAGAGCTGAAGCTTTGAGTAATCTTTTTATAGATGCAGCTAATGAAGTCTTCCCTAAAAAAGTTTACCCCAATAAAATTCCATCTCCTCCGTGGTGGGACAATGAGTGTACGGAAGCTGTGAAACAAAGAAAAGCTGCTGAGAAAATATATAAACAAAATATGACTGAATCTAATTATGATAAAATGTCAGAGTTGATAACAAAAACTAAAAAACTTTTTAAACAAAAAAAATTTGAAGGGTGGCGTAGGTTCTGTACCTCTATCTCCCCTAACACTCCTCCAACATTAGTTTGGCAAAACATTAAAAGATTTAAATCGGCTGTCAATAACAACTCTTCATCAATGATACCACCACAGCTAATAAACCCTTTCTTAGATAAATTAGCTCCTCCCTGGGTTTCGAACAATATCTCCATCTCTTCTTCCTTAACTGACTCTGATATTAGTGCTCCGTTTAGTTTATATGAATTAAAAGGTATCATCCAAAATACGAAAAACTCTGCCCCTGGGAGCGACGGTATCCCATATGCTTTTCTTTCCAACGTTTGCAATAACACATTACAATATTATTTAGATTTAATAAACTCGTCAATGATCTCAGGTAATATCCCCTCATCTTGGAAACGTCAAACAGTGTTGCCAATCTTAAAACCAAATAAAATTCCTTCTGAAGCTTCTTCATATCGACCCATTGCTATGTCTTCGGTTTTACTCAAATTAGCGGAGCATTTAATCAAAAACCGTATAGATTGGTTTCTAGAAAGTAAAGGCATTTTAGCCAATACTCAGTATGGCTTTAGAAAAGGTAGAAGTACACTCGATAATATTGCTATCTTCACTACAGATATTCGTATAGCTTTCTCTAATAACGATTCGGTGACAGCTGTTTTTGTAGACTTGTCTTCTGCGTATGATAATGTCTTATTAGATATTCTCAAAATTAAACTATTATCTTTAGGTATACCTTCCCATTTCATAAATTTTATTCTCAACGTTTTAACAGAACGCAAAATAGAAATATATTACGACAATATTATTTATTCTCGGACTGTTTCAAAAGGCCTTCCGCAGGGGTCAGTCCTTAGTCCTATTCTGTATAATGTTTATACATACGATTTAGAAGATAATATTTGCTCAAATAAATATATCAAAATACTTCAATACGCCGATGACCTTTTATTGTATTACATTAGTCATTCCATTGAGGATTCGCTTCTTAAATTAACATCTGCTTTATCTAATTTAAAATATTGGATGGATTCTAATGGGTTACAACTGTCTGCTTCTAAAAGTGCTGTCGTAGTATATACTCGTAAAAATAAACTTCCTCCTATCTCCCTAAAGTATGATAATGCTGCTATTCCCGTTAAAGATCACGCGAAATTTTTAGGCATAGTTTTAGATTCGAAACTTTCAGGCACCCGCCATTGTGTATATGTTGCTGATAAATGTGAACGCTTATTAAATATGATAAGATGCCTTTCAGGCGTTTGGTGGGGAGCTCATCCATATTGTTTAAAGTTGGTTTACAACGCCCTTATTAGAAGTGTTTTAGATTACGGTACATTTTTGCTAGAACCAGGTAATGTTACAGCCCTTAGGAAGCTAGACAAAATTCAACATAAAGCTCTGAGGATAATATTGGGAGCCATGAAGTCGAGCCCAATAAACGCTTTACAAATAGAATGCTGTGAACCCCCCCTTCAATTAAGACGGCAATATATTTGTGACAAATTCTTTTTTCGTACTATTCAGTGTTCAAATCATCCACTTCTTTCTAAGATTAAGGCACTTTATGAATTATTTTCTACTTCAAGCTATTGGACACATAAAACTCCACCATGTCTCATTGTTAGTTATAAGAAATTCATCTCCCTTTCTTCTCCTACTTATGTATCAAATTACCTTCCTATTTTTAATGTCGATTTTAAATCGTTAATTTTTCTTCCTAATATTCATTATGACATAGTTGAAAAATCAGATTTAGACGCTAAATTAAACTTTGAAATCGCGATTGACAGCAAATTCAATGACTATCATCACATATTTTGTGATGCTTCCAAACATTCGACATCTACCTGCGTTGGAGTCGGTATTTATCATTCTCAGTATAAAATAGTTCAGAAAGTAAAACTCCCTCCAGAATCATCCGTGTATTCAGGAGAATGTTTTGGTATATTGAAAGCCTTAGAATACAGTAAAATCATGAAACTTAAATCTGTTATAATATTTTCAGACTCAAAGAGTGCTTTACAGTCTTTAGAAAAATTTCCGTTTAAATTAAAATGTTATTCTCCCGTTATTTTTGACATCAGACAAATGATACAAAAATGTATTGAAAACGAAGTTCATGTAGAATTTGCCTGGGTTCCAGCTCATGTTGGTATAAAGGGTAATATTATAGCTGATAGGCTTGCTAAAGAGGCAGTATCATGTGGAGATGTTTTTCCTTTTCAAAACTATTGTTCAGATTTATTAGCAATTCCAAAAGTAATATTACGCGAGAAATGGGAGCAAATGTGGGAAATCAGTAAATTGACAAAAGCTAAATTTTATGCTCAGATACAAAATCATATTCCTTTGAAACCTTGGTTCTTCTTAATGAAGTGTGGCAAGCTAGAAACTTCTATGATTACACGTATGAGACTTGGTCATTCTTCTGCGCCTTTTCATTTAGCTAAACTCCATATAATCAACGATCCTAGGTGTGACTGTGGATCAGATGAAGGAACAGTTAATCATATTATTTTCTCCTGTCCTAAATTCCAAAGATCCTCCCTCTGGCAAGACCTAACATCCCTTCGTGTTCCATTCCCGACTAACATAGCTACACTATTACATACTTATGATCAAGCAATATATAAATGTATCATATCATATCTCATACTCAATAATATAAAATTGTAAACAACGATAATATATATATATATATATATATATATAGTATATTTAAGATTATAAATACCATACATTCCTGATCCCATCCTTCCTTATCCGATTTCTTTCCTATTCGTTTCCCAAATTTTTTACTTGACATTGGCAAAATGCACAAGCCGTGCCTGCCATATTATGAGGAAAAAAAAAAAAAAAAAAAAACTGTGGTCTTGCTACACATTACTAGTCTGTGATTGTGATTTAGGGATTGCAAATGGGAAAAAATATTGATATATATCGTATTGATATTTTTCAAAAGTTTATCGATCCATTGTCAAAAAAAGATCGATATTTTCTGCATTATAAGCGATCGTCTATAAAAATTGACTAAAGAAATTTTAGAGCAAATAAACACCTGGCTGTTTTGTTATTTAAAAAAGGTACATGAAGCCAAAAAAACAACATCACCAACACAACAAAAATTACATTATTCAAACAAATCAGTATTTATCTGATATTAACATCAGGAGCTTTTTCAGTGATACCAACCAAACCAACAAGCAGTGTCATTGTCATAAAGTAACAAATATGACAAGCAGGTCATAGACCGTAATTTTTAAACTCATACAGCCTACTGCCTACTTACTCTTTTTCAATTTAAGAAATGCAAGATGCGACGTATAAGCAGACAACAGAATTTAAAAAAATATATCGATTATGATACGAATTTGATATCTGAAAATATATCGAAAGCCGATATATCACAGGAAAAAAAACCACGCTGATTTATATCATTTTTTTTTAGAAAAATTATCGATATTTTGATATATCGATAGTTTTTGCGCAATCCTGCTGTGATTATAAACTAGAGATTTTTTCCCTCTATCCAAATACTAAGTTCTATAAATATCCGTGTTCCTTTCCTAATTGTTTCTCTACCTTTTTATATCTGACAGACTAATACCCAAGTCGGGTGGAACCAAATAAAAAAAAAAGAACTAGTGATTTCCGTAGAGTACTTATTCTGTGGTGATTGATTTCTTCCTTAGAAATGTGTATTGTTTCTCTGACTTCCTGTTAGTTTGATAAAAACAATGGTAAATGAATATAGAAGATGTTTTATAACAGTAGGAACAACAAAATTCGATCTACTAGTTGATACTATAATGACTCCGCTTGTACTTAATTCGTTGAAGAAAATGGGTTGTAAAGTCGTAACATTTCAAATTGGTAACAGCAACTTCCAACCAGGTATCTATGATAAAGAAGGGATACAGATCAACGTCTACAGATTTAAAGACTCCATTTTAGATGATATAAATAGTGCTGATTTGGTAATAAGCCATGCAGGTGCTGGAAGTTGTCTTGAAAGTTTAGAGGCTGGCAAACCACTTCTAGTGGTTGTTAATGAAGAATTAATGGATAACCATCAAATAGAGTTGGCAGAACAACTTCAAGTAGATGGTCATTTATATTACTGTACTTGTGATACAATAGAAACTACTTTAGAAATGCTAGACTTTAGTATGCTGAGGCCATTCCCCAAACCTGATCCTACTATATTTTTAAAATATTTAGATGATGTATTAAGAGTTAAACCAAAGAGTAACTAAATTTGTTATAATACTAAATTTTAAAATTATTATTGGATTGACAAGCTAATCTCTAGTTTGACAATAGATTGGCAATATTTTTTTACAATGAAAATCTTATTTTTGTACAATAATTTAGTTTATTTTAAAAACATGTTGTAGGAGTTATCATTTATCCTCATTATTAACCCATTGGTCTCCAGGAGCAGTACATCTGCCTAAACAAATGCCTATATTAAACAATCTGATTTATGCTTTGATATTCATAATAAAATACATATTTGTAAAAACTGACTATTAAGAAGGAACATTCCAATTTATTAGACTAAGATAGCATTTTACAATTGATTCAATGATTGTTACAGTGAAATAAAAGAAATCAAATGATTGATTTTAATTTTATTTAAATTTAATTTTAAACAGATCACTCATGAATTCATCGAAAGTTTAACAAAATGTGAATTGATAAAAATAATTAAGTTACTTTATAACAGAATTACAAAAAATAATGATAAAATACAACTACTTGTTATAAATAATTTTAAACTAATTTCTTAGCTTCAAAGAAGCTCTTCAAGTGCCTCATTTGCCAGTAACCAATTCCAATAAGAACAGCAGTCTGCAAAAGACTCCACCAGAGCACCCTCTGATTAGTGCTCTCCGATGTTTGTCGGAAACGTTCCTCACGATGCTGTGAATGCAAACAAATTTATAAAATAATAACAAAATTAGTCAAGTATAATAAAGTTTCAATATGAATAGATCATAGTTAATAATTCTAATATCTTAATTTCAGATAATCCTTAGTGAAGTTGGTAGAGAAAATAATGTCACAAGATTCATCCTGCCTTAGATATTCCTATTTCATGCAGTTAATAATTACCCTTTGATAACTTTGTTCCTTGGTTATTTGATGAACTTGATCCAACAATTGACGTATTCTTAGCTGTAGTTCTGTCAATTTATCTTTTTGAGCTACATTAGCATAATCTACAGCATGCTCACCAACTTGAATGTCTAAATGAACCTGAAACCATACTTTCATTTAATTTCAGAAAAACACATTCATTTGTTCTAATTACGGATATAACAAATTCTACATTACAAAAACTTATTATCTGGCTGGAGCAATACAGTAAACTTTTTGCAATGTGGAAAACCTTACCAACTTATCACAAAATTCATTATATTTTTAATGAAAAATGCTTAAAAATCCACTTGGTCCCTAGTACTCTGAGGAGGGATTCGAACCCACTTTTCGCAAAATTGATCAAATATATATATTTAAGGTTACATTTTATAAATCATAGAGGTTCAATAGTAAATATAGACTTTTCTTATTTATACTTGCAAGCTAGCATTTAACAGTTTGTTTTGTGATGAAGTTCTCTTTAAAATACTCACTCTGAGCTGTGATCCACTGAACCAAGATGTACTATTTGAGTACATGCAAATTACATGTTCACCAGGCACATGTGATGTGAAAGATATCATGCCCTCAGACGAATAAACACGAGATAGGACGATACGATCGTTGCTGTCACGCACTTCCACGTGCATCCCTATTCCCGGTGTTGAAGGCATAAACCCTCCAGATCGAGGATCGTAAAGTTCAACCTTATAGTTAACTAAAAACAACAAATAATTAATTAACTTGTAATTATAAGACTAAAGTTATTAGGTTTATACTTTATTTATCAGTACAGTAATATACTAATATTGTTTTCAGCCTCGAAATCTGTGTGAAGCTCACCAATAACTGTAGTGTCATCAGGTATTTCCTCAATAAAACATTTTCGTTCCCCTTCCGCTATGTGGAAATATAGAGCGGAGGAAACATTGAATAACAGAAACAAAGGCAAAATTGATAATTTGAATATATCCATATTTACTTTGCAGTAAACCATAAAAATCGGCGAAAACCACAACTAATGTATGACATGACACACGTCACCCAAAACAAGTCATTTTGTTTCTACAGATAGAGATGCGTCGATTATGGAACTATACTCTAGGAGAGGTATAGATACTACAGAGTACAAATGGTAGTGATTCTTTCGATTTGATACTATTTTCGTCATTAGGACTTTGATACTGAATACTATCGAACAAAATCTTTTAATGGTGTGCGGAATCGATTATCATTAACGATTTTTCAAATAGTCAGTTGCTATCGATTATGATTTCTTAATCGACGATTAACCATCGATTATTTCTTAAAACATTAGCAATAGGAATAGTTTAAAACGTTAGTATAGTACCTACTTACTTTACTTCGATGGCTCGGCAACCCATAGTGGATCGCGAGTGTGAATATTATTAATAGATATTCTATTACTTATTATGGCAGCCCTGGAATACTCCCACGAACAAATAGGTAACTTTACTCTATGAATGAACGGATCTTACAGTTTTATTTTAACAAATACAAATTAACCGTTTCTTACTAAATGCACATCTAAGAATACACGGTACATATCTATACCAAAATGATATTTTTTTACATTTTTTGTGTCTGTTTGTTGGCAGATAGCTTATGTAATAAGGAATGAAAAAGTAGGTATTAAAAAAACGAAAGCACTTAAAAAGCACCTCCACTAGATGGCGAGTCCAGCAAAAGTTGATTTTTGCAGGTAACGAATGGAGCAAAGACAGTAATTACCGTCCCTTTTAACTACCATATTAAAAAACTGAAATTTGAAAAGTTCGTAACTTCGATACAAATACGAAAAAGAACAAATAGGATATGAGTTCTTTATTGAGTTTTGAAAACTAATTTACTTTTAAACATGAAAGAAAACCGAAAGGGTTCTCATGGAGAAATCAATAACGTACCGTAGCGACATCTAGTTTGATTTCTGGAACTAATGTTTTTTTTTTATTACTTCCTCGTTACTAAGGCTACTTACCAAGTGGACGAAATCGCGGGTATATCTAGTTTAATTCTATAAATTTTTTATATACAATGCTGGTATAGTTACCATTGTCTTTAAATTGATTTTTAACTATTTTTCATTAACTTGCATAGCTTTAAAATACGGTGAAATTAATCTGAAATCATTAATAAACTTTCGGGGTAGAAATATTTAATAATCGTTGACATAAATCGATTATTAATGGATCACGAGTAATACTATAATCGATTTTTCGATGTGTATAATAATCGAATCGGCACATCATTAAAATATTTATAGTAACGAATCAAGAGATATCATGCATAACGAAGCCATCGCAGGTTAGACCAAGAAGTTGTAGTTTCTATAATTAGAGTTGCAAGTTTCATAAAATATCGATACATTTCGGCAATAGTTGATATCGATATATCGCATCACAAAGCTGATATATCGTTTTTACCGAAATGTTTTAAGAGGTCTTAAATAAATGCAAAAATCTTAAATCTAATCAATTTTATCAAACGTTAAAACTGATATATATTTACTCTTAGGATTTCATTGAATATTAACTTTTGATATATTGATTTTTTGATATCGATACGTATCGGCGTTCCGTTATATCGTTGCATGCATACATAATAGTATATGTATAGTAAACAAAAGCAGAAATAAAAAGACTTAGCAACTTGAACAAAACCCCTTTGCATTCGGCAAATAAAATATATATATATGTCAATCAAAAATTGATAGTTGAGGATACCACATTATTTCAAGTTTCTCAAATTGATTTTAAACTCTATATCAAGACACTAAAGGATTAAAACCAAGTAAATAAAATTTGACATATTTGTATAAACTGACCTGCTGTTGACTGTATGTATGTATGTACTTTAAAATTATGAAAGTGAAACGTGTTGACGAAGTCTCTTTGACTGGAGAATCCGACCAATATTCTTTTTAAGTTTGGAATTTTCGTAGATAGAATGGATCCATTCATTGTTGCGGCTATTATTAGTGCCATAGTGATAATTATACTATCCGTAGCATTTTTAAAAGTTGCTCAGGTGAAGCCACAAGGTACCTATTCGTTTACTCGCTCAACAATCATTACTTTTCGTATCAATAATGAAATATTAATCAATATTTTGGATTTTACTTAGCCGCAGCGAGACCTAGAGCAGTTGCACAAAGAGATGGAGGTCCAGGCAGAGTGCAAGCCGTCAGAAATCAAAGAGCACGAATGAGAGCAAACGGTACATTTTTTCTTTTATCAAACTTCGTAATGCGATAGTGGACCTGCGATATTACCGCCCGGTCTAATTTGGCACCCCATTTAGTCTGATATGCCTATTACTGTTGGCTGTATATAATGTTTATAACAATTACATTAAATCTTCACACTACTCTAACACAATATACATTTATTAAGTACATACATTCTTACACATAATTATTTTCTATTGATAATGAATAGAGGTGATGAACATCTATCAAAGTTGAATGTGAAATGCTAGGATTGTCACCCAGATTGACTAATCTAGACTTAGGATGGATATGACTCACCTGGCATCTCCTCTGTTTATGCCCATGGTTGAAACAATGTTAGGTATTCATAAATCGTCAAATTCATAATAGTTTAATATTTGATGGTTAATTAAAAATTGTTTATATTAATGTCCATATTAATATCCAATGAAATGTTGATATTTTTAGCTGCTCGTCACCATGCTGCTTTAGAAGAAGAACCTGAAGTTGCTAACGAAGTGGAAAATGATTCGATGCCTGAAACCACTACTAAAGTGGAATTTGATGATAAGATGGGTGCCAAGGTGAACTTTAAACAAATATAATTATAAGATCCTTATTAAGTAACTTTTGTTATAAAACTCAACAGTTTAATTTTTGCTAATTTAAAATAACAAGCATGTTATGATATAATGTATAATTTATTTTATAGAAAAGGGCCAAGCTTGAAGCCAAATTGGAAAAGCAAAAAGCTAGAGAAGCTGAGTTACAAATGCGTGAAATGAAAAAGAAGAGAGATGAAGAAATGGAGGAAGAAAGGAGGAAAGCAGAAGAGAAACAAGAGGTTTGTGATCATAATTAAAAGGAATACAGACCTTGATTATGTTATACATAATATAAACTTAATTTTAGTTGCAAAGTAGTTACAATATTTTCAGCAGTTTTTTTTTTATATATTCATTAGTTCCATTTCTTATTTCAAAAACAATGGGTAACAAGGATAGCTGTGTATATAATACAATTGCTTTCAACAACAGAATCCTGCCTGCGGAAACTATAACTTCAAAAATAAAACCTAATCTATATAAGAACAACCTATTTTGTCTCCTTCAGTATTTTAACAATCAATAAATAACAATTCTGTTTACATTCTTGAATGTCTAGGAGGAGAATGAGATTATTTCTGATGTACCTACAGGAATTTTTAAGATAGTACAGTAAGAGCAGGTACCTTAACCATTGTAGTTACATGAGAGTATTCCTAGAAGACCACTTATAACTTTTTAAGATATTCTGAACTACATTCACAAATTAAGAAAAAAAGTATAATGACTATGCAAAGAAAAATGCCTACCAATCCTATTACATATGGTAATCAAAATAGTTTATGCAGAGACTGCATAAGGTGTGTTGCAGACCAGATGTTCTACCTGCCACAGTCTCGTGATGAAGGCTTGTGATTTAAGGCAAACTTAAATTCTTTAGGCAACAAATAATATTTTATAATCAGTTTTCCTTACATAATGTATGGGAAAAGTTTTGGTGACTTCCCACATTATTAAATGATCCTACTATAACCTCTACAATCCTACATGATATAGGATCAAGTTACACACAATTTTTTTTTTCTACTGTATTTTGTCCAATATCTAGGAATACTGTTCAAAACATCTTATTAGAAATCGTGGCGATCATAACGTCATGCCATTCTTAATAGTAACTATGTACCAATTTCCACACTTTTATATTAAGTGTACAATAAGTTGGCTGATATAGTAAATTTACAGTAAATTTATAGTAAATTTTCCTTTAATCGATGTTAAGGAAGAAGAACGGTTGCGTGAGGAAGAAGAGAAGAAAGCTGAGGAAGAGCGAAAACGCCGTGAACAAGAAGAATATGAGGCAATGAAGGCAGCATTTTCAGTTGAAAGTGAAGGTTTTGAAGAGAATGAGGAACAAGATAGAGAGAGTCTACTTCGGGACTTTATTGAATACATCAAAGTTAGTACCTACAATTTTTTACTTTGTCATCCACAAGTGTAGCGTGCCTTAGAGGGACCATGTATCAAAATTAGTTGGGGAGCCCAAATGGAGGGTACGAATTTTTGTTTACAAGCGTTAGATAGGGGAATCATTGATACGGTGGTAGCCCCTATCCACAAGTCAACCAGAAAATAAAGTAAATCCTATCTGATACATTTTCCGGGACCATATGTTATGAAGTTTTATTATAGAATTTGTTTTTAACAAAGATAAAGCAACATGAGCAAAAGATCAATGACCAATATTATAAAGATGTGTGTATGTTTGCATCAAATAGACTTTGAAACTACAAGCCCGTTTTTAAAAATTCTTTCACCTATGGAAAAAAGCTAAAGACGTTAAAGATCACCTCTGTGGTGGAGTGGCTTATACACGAATAACGTGATGTACCTGTCGCAGCCAACTGGTTAAAACATTCTATTGAACGCCTAGTTTTCTAGTTGAAACCAAATTGTTCAACAAGCCGTCAAAACGCTCATTAACAAAACTTGTTATCTGTTAAGAAAAATAACTTCGCAATTTAAAACGATCGCTACGCTACGCTTTGCGATCAGCTTAGATTTCTACCATATCACGTGACCTACAGAACCAAAATAACTTTGGTGTTTATCATATATTGTTATCAAACTTCGAAATCGTAATAAATATACTACATAAATCATAGTTAAATACATTACTTACTCTGCTTTCGATATTTAGTGCTGTGGCCGTCTGAATCGCGATATATCTTGTCTTTCTATAATTGTATTAGTATAAAGAATTTACTATGAAATTTAAAGCTTAACCCACTTGCATTATTGGCGTGTACTTTAGCATCCTGCGTGGGATCATACGGACCATTAACACCCAATCGCGAATACGTAGATTATTATTATATTTTTGATGAAAACTGTATCTGTATCGATTATAGATCGTAACAAGTTTTTGAGTTTTATAAAATATCACACACTATAATATATGTATATTTTGTTTTACGTCTAATATTGGTGTTCCAGGCGATTTGACAGTTGAGTAGTTAATTGAATGGCGCCATTCAACTAAAGAGCTAGCCACCTAATTGGTCGTCTGATCATACCACTTGGCTGCGACATATCCATCTCCAAAGTCACAAGTTATATGTAGAAGAATAGATTTGCCTAAATGAAAATGTCTATTATGACTAACAGGTGTATTTTACTTTTCAGGCACAAAAAGTAGTGTTACTTGAAGATTTGGCTGCTCATTTCAAATTAAAGACACAAGCTGCTATAGACAGAATTACAGATCTACAGACTTCTGGAGAACTCACGGGCGTCATTGACGATAGAGGAAAGTTTATTTACGTATCACAAAAAGAGCTAGAAGATGTTGCTAAGTTTATAAAACAGAGAGGGCGCGTATCTATCACAGATTTAGCTGAAAGTAGCAATGAATTGATCAACTTGAATCCTGTTATAGTAACATAGAAATTAACATATGATTTTTGTGGTTAATGTAAATGTTACCTAGTTAAGTTTACAAATATTACTTTGTTATAAAAAAAGCAAATTTAAATTAAATAAAGAAGTTTATTTAAAGTGATAAAAAGACAGTTATTCATCAATTATTTCATAACCAAACATATCCCTTCCTTTCTCCAGCAACAAAAGAGAAGACTCTTTCAATCTATCTAATACCTCTAAAAGCTTAGACTTTGTAAACACTTTGTAGAGACACCTATTTTCCCCAGCAATTAAATTGCTTAATTTAAGAGCCTCTTTGTGATTTGCAATATCATCGCCACTTTGTAAAATTTTTAGTGTCAATATGACAATTTCTGGAATACAAAGGCGTCTCAGTGTCTCCAGCTGCTTTATTCTCTCTTGTTTTTCATCTTGACTAAAATTATTTGATGAAGTACAATCGTTTTCGTCTTGTAGCCAACCTCCTGGGAATAATAGTACATTATAAAGCAAATTTTTTGTGTACCGAGATTGATGTTCTACTGCATTTAACCAACGAGCTTTTTGCTCCTCTACTTTAGCACACATTTGTTCATAATGGACTTTATCTGAAAATGTAGCATCTGGTGGTAAAGGTTCCACATCTTTAGGTTGCCCACTGATGAAATGTCTATACCATGTAGCAAAACTCTCAATAGACTCCAAGTAGGCTTTTAGACATAGATGTTCTCTGAGTTCAGAAGAGTTTGTGGGAACTTTGTTTACAAAATCTGGGAACATTTGATTAACATTAATGATGCAAGCTAAAGCGGCATCAGTGTTTCCTATGAATATGAATGTACGAATCATAGCATTACTTAACCAAAGGGCTTCTTCTAATTGATTCGCTATCAAAGCTAACCATTCCAGAGATGATATCACATTGGTTATCAAACTTTTATCTTTTTCAATTGCTGTTGTCTGGGTAAATGTTAAGTCTAAATTTCCATAACCTTGTTGGATATCAGCTATGGCTTTCTTTATTGCTACCCTAGCAGATGCTGCTACATCTATTCCAGCACTGACTCCAGCCTTCACAACACTTTCTCTATATTGACTTTTGTAAATATGATTCATCAATTCAGCATACAAAACAATCTGACGTTCAATGGGGACAGTTGAAGTATAGTATGCAATAAGCTCTGGATTATCAATAGAACCATCTACTCGTTGCTCTATAAGTTGTGTCACATACTTCTCTAAAATATTATCACCAACATCATGTTGAGGATCCTTTCCCATCTGTCTCAAAATTAAAATCAAATGTGCCAAGAATCTTATAAATCTTTCTTCAGAAATATCAAGCCATTGTTGTGACTCCTGCATAATTGCTCGAATGTTGCCTAGCATGAGATGTCTTTGACAGGTTTGATAATATGATTCCTTTTTATCCTCCATCAATGATTTAACAGCACTGAACACTTGTTGGAGAGATAGTTCTTCAATTTGAAGTTCACTCTGTAACATGTCAAGCACATCTGATGATGTTGTATTAGCTTCTACTGTGGCATGATGTTCACGTAGGAATTTATCTACTCTTGCTTCAATTTGAATTCTTAAATGAGCCCACAGTAAGTCCTCCCAATTACTTTGACAAGCCGGTAGAGCACTAGCTAGGTGGCCACATAAAATTCCAACAGTTGCTCTGTAATGAGTATTTTCAGTTGCATTGCTTGATATACCAAGAGCACACCATTTCCACAAATCTCTTGATGGATTTCCAGATATTTCTAAAGGAGCATTTATATCTTCTCTTGGCAAGTAGTGAAGCAAAGCCCAGCCTTGTAATACAGCCCCACGCCAGGCTTGCCCAGCACTGATGCACAGTGAAACTGCTTCCTTAAATTTTCCACAACGAACTTCTGTGAATATTCTTTTGCACAAATCAATATCATCTTTATTATCATCAGAATGCAGTGATTTCTTTTGACGCCTTGGTGCATCTGGGTCCATACATGTGATCATAGCTTTATTCTTCTCTTTATTAAATAAACTTGAACCAATTAATAACTGATGGAGAGTATTGCCCCAATGTATATTGTTACCAATAACTGGAGCTGACGTTTTAGTTGCTTCTTCTTGGTAAGCAGCTGTAGCTTCCAACCAATCTACTAACAATTGTAATAATCTTAATTCAGAATCACTTTGAAACAAAGCACTTACTAAAGTCTTCTGAGATAAAACATCTTCTGATATCAAACTGTCAAGAGATTCGGGGTGGTCTGATAATGAATCTGCATATAAACAGTGAAGCAGTTTCCAAGTATTTGCTTCTTCTGCAAGCCAATAATTTTGTGCATTGTACCTGTTCCACGGTTCTACTAATTCAAGGGAGTCGCAACAAACTTGACCTAACCTCGCCAACGTATGCAAAACATCGTGTGAACGACTAGTTTGTACAATTTCGAAAAACGCTTCAGTAAGACCTTCACCGGCGTTTTCTGAACTTATTAATACTGAAGATTCATCTAAAACTTGTCTCAGGCTCGTATCATTCAAAGTTTTAAAAATAGATGTTTCATTCAGTATCGGCGAAAGATTTAACGTATCTTCTCTCTGTAATAATTGCCTGTTTCTTTTATTTCTAATCGGTGTATGTTGAGTTGAATACAATAATACACTTCTTTCGTAATTCATGGTAAACTTAAAATTAGATAAACTAAAAACAACAAGTTCATGTGGAAAAACAAAACCAGAAACAAACGAAAGGAAACGGTCAAAAGTAGAGTTGTTAAAAACGACTAAAATACATTAACACGCTGATAAGTGCTAATAATTAGCGTGTTAATTAATACGTTAATTTATTAACACGCTAAGTACATAATAAAAAGGGTGAGCGACAAACTAATCAAATCAAGCAGTAAACTAAATCTCGTAGCACGTTATTTATTATTATCTGTCGATCTTTTAACTGAGTGCGTGCTAATACTAATACATGTGAAATAAAAGTAAACGAACTACGTACATTTGTTATCTACCTACATGTAATACAATTTTACACTAAAATTTGTTCTTATATTTATTAATATTATCATCTTCATTATAAGCACGTACTTATCATAATTAATCTTGTCAAATTTTTTTTTTCATTTATATGTTTTTACAATTAAAACTTTTTATTTTTTTTATAACATAATTGCAATTTAATCTTAACAATTTAAAATATCAACTAACTAAACTATGTTAATAATACATGATCGCGTCCATTAACATTCGCACCTTTATGTTGATTCAAGATCGGCTTCGCGCACTATAATATTACTGTGAGAATAAATCGTTCACGTTACCATTAGCGTTCGCGCCCACGCGAACGTATACATACTATACATACTAAACGCTTAGTTTAAGTACGATTAGCATGTTAAATCACACGCTTAGCGCTAAATTACCACCTCTAGTCAAAAGTAACAGTGAGAGAGAGGCGTATATTTTAAAGGCGACAACTATCCCAAGTTTTTAAATACTTTTATTTCACATTGTAAGAGCTAGTTTATAAACTGTTTTTAGCAGAATTTACAATAAGAAATAAATATGTTGTTGTAATCCACCACGTTCTTCAGATATATTTTAATCTACAGACGTCTTTTTATTTTTTGCGAAAACCAGTGAATACATATACTTAAAATGCTTATAAAACGTACAAAGATGGCATAATGTCACCTTTGTACATTTTTCTACATATCCTTAGTGAATCCCCATTCCTCAACTTAAATGCTGGTTGTATAAACAATTCCTTGTGAAATTGGAGCAAAATAATAATTATCTAATATTTTTTTATTAACGGACTAACGGACTAAATACAATTTCTATTTTTGTATCCACATATAATTCCTATTCTTTTTTTTTTCTCAAAAATGCATAATTTCATTAAGAACATTTTTTCATGGATGATTAATTTATAAATAAATTACAAATTTGATTAGATACTTTAAGTATATTGCTATCTATTGTACCATGTTATGATATGTTCTATTAAGTTAGAAGATAGAAAACGCAATGAAAGTCGCATTGCTTTTCTACAATTCGTAAAAAAACATTTTACAATAATAAAAAACAAATCATTTAATGTAAAAGGTAAACTGCATACCTATATTTTTTTACCTTTACACTATAATTTTCAATATTTTAATGTCCCTAAAACAGCCAAATACTATGTAAAATATGTGTTTGGATCGCGTATTTTAAAATACTGGGCTAGGACTATTCCTAGCACGATGGGTGCATAACATTATTATATTGTCTTTAGATATTTCTCGAGGCTACGATGTGGTAACCACGCAGCCTTGACCTAAGTTAGGCTAGGCCAGGGGCTCAACTTCACGGGTAGTGTATTAACCGCTTTATATTGTTTGATTGTTCCTTGTTAAAAATAGCAGGACATATTATACAAATTTGTCAAAATTCTTCACTTAATATTAACCATTAAGTCGTTAGCGATTGAGTTAAAAATCAACTACGACAATTTGATTTTGACATATGCTCAGGTACCTGCGGAGTGGCATTACATGAGTGTCATTCTAAAGATTTAAATCTTTTTCATCTGAATCAGTGCTACGATCAGAATCAATTAATGCTTCATTTGGCTCATTTGGATCATTGATTCTCAGATAGATTAAAGAGAGCAAGTAGCAAGTACTTAATCGTGTTACATAAATATTTAAAAAATGCTTTGCATGCCTAATGCTTTTTTCGTTGACCTTTAATATGCAATATTTGTTTTAAAACAAAATATAACTTTTTAATTTCAAATCACACTTAAAATTTAATCGGTTCTCCTTCATACTTTGTTCAGACTTAGGACTGACAATTACACTACAAAAACAAACTATTAATATTATTACCGTAATGTTCTATTAGTTTATTCTATACACATGCTTAATGCAATTTACTAATTTAATGACAGCATCGATTTTTGGATTCTAAACTTTGTTCATAATATATGATTCCAAAACAAAAGTCAAGTGAAAATGGTATTTACCGTATATTGTATAGGATCACCACTTTACTGTATTGGTGTATACTATATTGGGTATTTATTTAATGGTATATAGGGTGATATTTAACTTATTGGTAAGTTAACTATCTAACTCTATGTACGAAGGGTCCGTAAAATGAATAAGCGTGTTCACAGGTATGAGTTTACTTTCAGATTGTTTTAATGTTGAATAACGACTTACAAATGCATTATTGTTTATTTTACAAATATCACAGATTACGTCGCCACAGAGTGAACGACAAAGATTATTAAAAGCCGCTGACTCGACGACAAGTGCACTCATTTGTTACCGACACGGGACTCAATGTCGCCCAAATTTTATCGTACAGTTCTTCTCAGTTCATTCTTTCGTTAATTTATGTCAGTGAGCTGCACTGATACACTGAACCATTCAGAGCAAATTTTGAGATTTGGATCAGTGCATCATTTGCAATCATTTTACTGAACTGAGTCGATTCATAAAGATTAAGGCGCCTATTACACTACCCAATCTATCGGGCACGATATATCGGCCGCGATTTAGGGCGGTTGGTGTCGTTGTGATTAACTGCACTAGATCGCCTCCCTAACTCAGTTGGCATGCAAACGTGGCGTTGAAAGGATGGCTCCTTCGCTCTCAAAGTACCAAAAATTGACATAGCCCATACTTTAACTGCGGGCGTAAATAATAAAACAAAATGTTGGGTGAAAAATATTTGATTCTAAATGACCAACTATGCAGTTTGAACTACTACAGAATGAGTTCTATACAATTTGATCATATATTAAACTTAGTCATAGCTTATATAGCGCAAAACAGCGGTTAGCTGTGCTGTAACCTTAAAATTTTTAGCAACGGGAAATGAATATCATGTTAAAGTATAAATACTCAATTAAAATAATATTAAAATAATATTACATAGTTAAGTTAGTCTCACTATGGACCCTATCGGGCACAACAATAATATAAAGTTTATTATAGCATTAGTTTTTATTATTGTAATTTATATAAAATTTATAATTGTACCAGACACATGCAAAGGCTATCTAGAATTGTTTAAAACATTATATCATATATATATATATATATATATATATATATATATTAGAAAAAGTGATAATATTAAATTACACTTAATATTATTTCTTTTCCTTTTGAGAAGACATTTTTGTCTGTTCGCAAATTTCGTTGTCGTTCACTGACGTCTCACACGCACGCTGCGCAACAACCGACTGAGCGCTCTAACACCCTAACAGCGATCACATTACCCGATAAATCGGCCCTAACTCTCATCGGGCGATCGTGCGCCCACGTTCACCCGATATCGGGACCCTAACTCTCTAACTGCGATTAGACTACCCAATTTACAGTGTACCCGATGGATCGAGCCCGATAGATTGGGTAGTGTAATAGGCGCCTAAATTGTACTTCACGTCTAATTCGAACTTCGTTTAACTTCCCCGACTGGCTTCAACGGAGCATCGACGCCACAGAACCAATCTAAAAGTGACTTTTTTTATTCATAAAATTTGAATGATATAATAACACAAACTTATATTTTTAAGGTAATTATTTAAATGAATTGTGTATTTAAATATCATTAATATTTTCAAAATTTTTGGTGACTTGGTGACTTTTCTTAGTATCTTTCGCACCCTTTACTTTTCTTTCCGTAAAAATCTTGATCCTAGCTTAGAAGTATTTAATACATTTTAAATTATTAATTAATTAGTTCGTTGATAGATAAAATGGTAATTGAAGGTGTTAAAACTTTTTTTTATGTAATTTTCATTTATTAATGTTTTTTGCAACTTATTTATTTAACCGAAAATACTTATAAACTAGAAACAATTATTTTAATAAAAAAAAATAAGCAACGTGAGGTAAGTTGTATCGTGAGACACTGCTATTTTAGATTTTATTTTGGTTATTTATGTGAAAGAGGTAAGACCACCAACAGTAAGTGTATGTGATAGGAGGCCTTGGACATAGAAGGTACATTAATGTGATTTATCATAACTGATAACATGAAACCTATATAAAGTAGTTAACATACCTATCAATGTAGTTCAATGAAAACCTGTACCTCTATGTTATAAATGTTACAAATTATTTACATAAATAGAAGCAGTTTTATATCTAGTTGTTCTAAAGAAAATTATATTCCTTTGGTAGCTTCTTCCCTTATTTGGTAATATTGGATGTTAAAATTATTTGTAATCATCCAAGCATTTTATGAAAAATAAGTTTCTGCCACTTTCTGCCAGTGGCTTCACCTGCATGGTCCTGACTCATTCTTATGAACCTTCCTTTTGAATCACTGTATATTGATGAAAACTGCATTAAAACCTGTTGTGCAATTTAAAAGATCTCAGTGTACAGGCAGACACACTTTGTTTTATACTTTGTATAGATACAGTATATAAGAGGTTTAAAACTTTCAGTGGATAGTTCAATTTTCAAATATTTATTTTATAAGCAAGCATCAAGCATGTACATTCAGTGGCGTAACTACAGTGTGGCAAGTCAGCAAAATGCCACGGCTCCCCAGCTGGAAGGGGCTCCCGGTCAGAGGAGACACCTTACTCCTGAAATTTATTATTACATGATTATTAAATAAAATTGAATATCTGATGAATTTGACACAGGCCTCAAACGGTATAGTTACGGCACTGTGTAAATTGTATTATTATTAAAAAAAATTATGCCTGTTATGAATTGTTACTGAAGAAAAGCAAAAAAGAAAAACAAGAATTATTAATTTATCTTAGAAATACTTGAAAAACCTATCTCATGTACCAGCACATGTAGCATGTCACTAATACAAGGAAGATTTTGTGTACATCTTAATATCACTTTTCTCCAGCATGCCCATACTGTATCTCTGCATTGAGTTCATCATATGCATTCAAGTCAGAAAAGTACCAACCGTTTCAGCTACCCGACAGTTTATTTTCAACAATTAAAATAATAAGCAATATAAGAGTTTATAGCTATAGAATGCACACCCCTAATTTAGTATCATCATTGTTACCATTTTAATTTTCATCATAATCATTTTAATATCCCATATTAAAATGTGATCTATTGTCCAATAATTGATCCAGTCAATCGCTTCTAACTCTGTGAACACTCAAAGAAAATTAAATGTAAAAGTATTATGAAGAGTTAATAAGATCCTACTAGTTACCCTTATTTATTTACCCTTACTTCCAATATTAATGTTACGAAAAATAGACATAGGATGCACTTGTATAAATGACTTCGATTTACTGCAATGTAACATATTTTTCAGTGTGTAAATGTTGGTTTAATTCTATATCATTTAGGTATTCAGACTGACTATACCTATTATCAAAGACTTCTTTGTATACATAGAGAAGTCTTTGCCTACTAAATAACATATTTGTGTAAAATGACTGAATAAATAACATTAAATAAATATTAAAATTCAATCAGATCCCTATAGGTGGCAGATAAATTAATTAATTTACTTATCAATAGTTATTAAAGTCATTGTTAAAGCTATTGATATTTGGTAAAATAGTACCAAATTTTATTTGGTCTGAGGTACCAAACAAAAAATTCAAATTTTGCACTTTCTGACACATTTGTGTCATTTTTTTATAACTTTTGTTGTGTCAGACAACAGCTGTCAATTTGGTTGTTGAACTTGCAGCACAGAACACAATTGATTTGCAGTCTCTAACAAGGAATGTAGTTATTTAAACAAAATTTATATGATTGTTACTTTATTCTCCAATAGGAATGGAGTTGATTTTAGAAGATAACAGAGAGAGATCTCTCACAACATTAAAAAATTTGGAGTTGAACATGGATACCAGGTTTATATTGGGAGGTAAGTGAAAATGTTTTTTATATGATTTTTTTTTGTAAAACCAAGAGCAATTATAGGTAATAATAAATTATAGGAAACAATATAAACAAGAAAAAAAATATTATCACAAATATTTTTTAGCATGAAATTTTAGACTTTTGATGACTAATAATCAGATCCTACAGAAATGTATCCTAATCCTATTAAATTTTTTATTAATTTGAGAAGAGAGAAACTTTATAAGTTTCTTAGTTTTTAATAAAATTAATATTATCTGATTCGCATGTTCAGATGATTCGGATCTTTAAGGCTATATTAAAAATATCTATAGAGAAGATTCAAGGCACAATTAATAATACTTTACTTTTTATTCTAATATTAAAGTATTATTGCAAACTTAAAAAGTCATAGGTAGGTATTAATAATATACATATATAGGCCGTGTGTATGACAAGGATTTAAAGTTACTTATAATAGCACACATTTTCTTTAATAATGTAACTAAAAATAATAGTTATCTATGTAGGAATTTTTTATCAGGGGTAATCTTAATTAACTGCATCTTTTCTCATAGTTTATTGTAATTTTATAAAGTGTGAAAAATACATTCTTATTTTCAATTATGAGTTTCTTGAAGTCAGTAGAAGCTAGGCATTGAGTAAGATCCTTCAGCCAGAAAGATCTTATAATATTTATTCTAATAGGTAAGATTACTACCTACTATTAAAGTTTTATGCACCAGTACTGTTGAGGATTCTATCTCAATCCCAAACCCTTAAAACAAATTTAGTCTGAGCTCAAATGTTGATAGGCATCCATCTGTACATCACTCGATATGTGATACTTAGTAATAGTAATACTTTCTAATATAATAAAAATGCTTGTCTATTTTCGTCTAAGACTAAAAGTAAACTATCCTATACAACTTTGTTAACAGTGAAAGTATACATGCAAATAGAACTAAAGACATGCAGGTATTTCTTCTTAATTGTACAAAAATTAAAAGACCTTAAAATAAGTACTTTAAGAAAATTGACATTTCATTTCTGTACAACATTTCTCAGACAGATAGAAGATGAAGAATTAATAGATTTTTTCTTTCGCCTACTTTTCGTAGGTAGATGAAATGACATGACTAAAATACTTTGTGTTGTGTCAGTTGTAAATGAAAGAAATCGCGTGAAATGGAACTTATGAAAACGTTCCGTTTTACAAATTCAGTTAAGAAACAATTCAGATTAATCGATAAAATTTGGAACAAAAATAGATACCTAATATATTTCATTTTTTTTTTTTTACATAATGTGTTTTGAAAGTATAAATATCGTAAGAAAACTATTGTCATGAATGCACTGTTAAATAACCGGAAGTCATTTAAAGAACTTTAATTTGATGAATGTTACAGTTTTATTGAATAATTATGTAGCTTGGAATGTATTTATTATTATATAATAATATAATCAATAATTTTATGAGTACTTCTTTTTCATAGAAGTTTTTGGGAAGACGAACAGAGCGAACTATCGTTGTTGTCTATGAAACATTGCGAATGATCATGTAATATATTGTAAGGAAAGTTGCAATTCTAAACAAAATAAAAACATTTTCAAATCTATGAAACACAGGAACAAATTAAAAATCACCTTGTTTTATTTTTTGATTGCTGATTTGACTTTACCGCGCAAGTACCCAATTCAAGGACATAGAACGCTGTCTCGTTCTTGTTTAACATATTAGACAAAGAACGATGAGTAGGTGGCACCGTATGGCATGCATTTCGTCAGTTTGTCGCTGGATACGAGTATCTGCTACCTACTTACTCAGTGAAATTTGTTTGTGATAATCGGACTTTTTCCGCCATTAGCGTTTTGTATTTTATCTGTTTAGTTTCATATAATATTCCAATAAGGTTCATAAATTTGATAAACCTATGCCTAAGTGAATTACGTACAACATATAGTGTCTCTCTACGAAATGTATCATTTCCTGTTTCATGTAAAGAAACAAGCAACTGCGATCGCTAGCTAGCGTACTTTTTGCGTTATCACGTGGGTCAAATTTCGATTTGTGTGCTATTATGAGATGAATTTACATTGTTTATCTGAACGTAGTAGTTAGCGCCGAAATTGTGCATAGTGAAATAACAAAGAATAAAATATTAACTTTTTTTCAGAAGCGTGCCGATCTGTAATCGGCCTGTCAGTGTTGGCTTGCGCATTATGGAGCCGGCAGGGGACTAATTTTGCGGAAAATGTTAAGTGTGAACTGTTCAGTGGAGTGCGAGATCGTGTTAGTGTTGTGAATATATTCTTAGAGGAAAGTGTTACATAAGGGATGTGCTTACTGAAAAGCCCGCCCTGAGGCGTCGGGCGCCGGCGTCCGAGGCGGGCTACGCGCGTGTCATGGCTCCGGCGCTTTCGGTTGCACCCGGAGAGCCCCATAGTTACGACAATACCGAAGAAATAGACCAGCTTACTCCGCTCAGAAGACGGGCGCTCGCGTCCGTCGATAATCTATCAATACACATGGAGGAAGATGACATGGGGCTCCAAAGCCAACCGAGTCTTGCCAAAGATTCACAGGAAATGGAGCAGATCTTAGTCGATTTGGGTAGTAGTGATCTAGCTCAGGCTGATTTACTTCAAGCCATTAAAACCTTCGAAAGTGGGGATGGTCTATCGACCGGTGATCCAGATGGAATTTTCCCACTGAGTGCATTTGATTTGCCAGAAACTGCAGATTCTGAGGGTGATGCTGCAGAAGATAAAATCAGACTGCTCCAAGCGCGCCTTGAACGTCGATGTTCTTTTTTGCAAAGACGGTTACGAATTTTGCAAGCTCGGAGTATAGGGAAACGTATATCAGAAGAGGCTGCTCAAACTTTTGACAAGTGCATTAGAGGAGCACGTAAAGATGGTGGAGGCAGACCTATTGGATTAAAAGCTTTTTTGAAGAGAATAGAAACAACCGCAGTGTTACAAGCCAGTGCAGCATCTCGTTCAGTTGCTGGTCCTAAGTATTACCATGCTAGTTGTTCACATGTCGATCCCTCAAAATCTGCCTCAGTTGGAGTATCTTCTGGAACCCTTACTGGCTTAGAGGACACTGCTGGTGCATTAAGATCTCATTTATCAGTGGTGAAGCATGAGCTGGACTCTGATGCGACAGCTTCCTCATCAGGAGCTGAAAGTAATGATGAAGCTGTCACTTACAACAATCCTCATCAACAGCCTATGCCGATGTAAGTAATTGATTATAACATAAGTGAGGTTAGGATTTTATCTAAGTTCATTGTCCTTATAATCTAAATGTAAATCACACCAAATTTTGGATACATCACATACCTTTTCTATGAAACTATCAAACCTAAATTCAGTGAGTGTATGTTTACACATGTATTACTCATTGTTGCATCATATTGGTATGCTAGAACAATCGGATTTTAAAAGTTGTATGTGACTTTAATCCATTCAAATTGTACAAATTGTGATGACACATTTATAAAAAACTTAACATTTTCATTATTTAATAACAAAACATTGTGGGCTGTGCACCACTAACTTCATTCTTGTTAATCATATCTATCTATATATCACCACATCACTTGTTAGATCGGCAGAAGGAACCATCCCACAATTTATTATTTGTTAATTTATTAATAATATTTGACTTTGACAATGAAATCTTGAATTATTATTATTATTTAATGAAATCATTGGAAATAGAATTGAACATGTATTCTGTAAATTTTTTTATTACTTATAATCCATTAAATAATATTGCATGCTACTATTGACTGTTATTCATCAACGTAATATATAAAATGAAGATAACAAAGTCAGTATTACCAACCAAAAGTTGGTAAATAAGTAACAATACAGTACAACTTGAAACTCGAAAATAATATAAAAACTTATATATCACAGGGAAACTGAACATTTGAAAATCACCAAAGACGTTAAAATAATGACTCAATTAACATTTCTCTAAACAAATTGGCCACATAAAACCTTTTTTGTACCTTTATACTGAAACAGCAGTAAGTTCTGTACTAAAATCTTCCAGCCACTTGAACCACAAAGTCTTAATGTGGAAAAAACATTATACATATTAATTAAACTCAGATTTTTGCTAAAGTCATACTAGGTTGCATGGGTTTTGGTTAAATAGTTCTTGCCCATAATAATGAATCATACCTCGTTATTTTAATATAGAGGAAATTTTCACACCATAAATGACAATCAGGGTACTAAAGTAAAAATAATAAAGGACAGATATCCAGCCTTAGCTCATGTTTATTTGATATAAGATGTACTGCATCAGTGCCATAGTTCTGGCAGTTACTGATTAGTGTATGAAAATACATATTAAACAATACAAAAAAGAAGAAATTATATAAATAATAATGGGTATTAATTTTTAGACTTTATTTTTTTTTTACTTTTTCAGTGAAAAACGTGCATTATGGTCATGGCAGAGGTCTCGCGCTTCCATTGCGTCTCGTTGGTGCTGGCTACAGGCACAGGTTCAAGAGTTGGAGTACAAAATCCGTCAGCACACAGACTTGCATAAACAGGTAAATTGGAAATATTATATATGTCACAGAATTACCTTTAATAGACTTTTATTTGATATATGTGGTCTTATTACACTTTTATTAGATTTGAAAATCTGAATCTGATGAACATTAGAAAATCTGTTCTGTACCTATGTGATGTATGTAGTATTATCAGCAGATAAAGCTTGTATACCAATTCTGCTAATATTTATTGTAATAATAGAATTACTACTACTTACAGTATATCATTGTACTATCTATCTAAAGTCATTATTAGTGCTACGTCTTCCTCACACATCAATGGTGACAGATATAGACGCTAGAAAGTAAACATGTAGTAACCCGCAAAACCAAAATTGTTCTTCAGAGCAGAAAAACTTTCATTTTTTTTATAAATAATTACAAATAATAGTTTATAGTATAAACGTCGGGGCGGGTTACTACGTGTGTGCTTTCCAACTTCGATATATAATTATATTGGATTTCAGGTAGATAGTACAATGGTATAATGCTAGTAGTTGAGATTCTATTGAGATGCCATTATTATGTAAAGATTTGAATAATTGATCCTTTACTTTCGGAAAATGTGTGAAAAAACAATAATCTTGAATAAAACTATGTTTATAATAGGGAGATGACTGGGTAAAAAAAATGCAATTCTATTTAGTCGGTCAGTCAGATAATAGAAAAATATTAGATACGTATTTTTTTTTTACTTCAGATTAACAAGAAATTGCTTAGATAACAGGCATTAAAGTTGAGGAGTGGGGGCTCGCTACGTCACAGTTGAGTAGAAAACGTACTCTAACGTGACGTCATGCGAAATTTCAACTCTATGTAACGCCGTAATTTTATGATTACGAAAATAATAAAAAAATATATGTTTAATATTTTTTAACACTCCCTGACGGACAAACAAACAAAAATTAGTCATCATCCCTATTATCGGAATATAACTATGCATGTCAAAAATGTATTACCTCTGTGGCCGTGCTGCTAGCACGCAGGTGTCACGTAGTCGCCATCTAAAGTTCAGAGTTCGATTCCTGTAGCTATTCAAACTTTCAAACGTCAAAATGATTGATCAGTTTCAATCAGGATTTGTGTTTGATTGAATATACCTATCCTGCTGTTGTTTTTATATTATTACAAGTCTGAGTGTTGTGGTACTTTAATTTCTATAATACAAGTGCTAGGAGCTACTTCATTTGGGATCTGTGCAATGTATGTGATATTGTTTAATATATTACTAGCTGTTATCCCGCGACAATTAATTCGCCCGCGTAAATTATAGATTATGTCACTCTCGTACGATGTAGTTTCCTGAAGGTGTTTTTTTTTTATTTCGGACCAGTAGTTTTGGAGCCTATTCGATGGAAACGAAAAATCAAATTTTACTATTACACTGTTTAGCTGCGATATTATAGCAACACCCAATCAATGTCTGCGGGTGTGCGGGCGGCGTACAGAAAGCCTTGCAAATCTGTGGAAAGTTCTGTTCTATTATAGTATGTTGTTAGGGCAAGCGGAAAACGCACAATGACTCAAAAGTATGTTAACGGTGAAAGAAAAGGATACGTATCGTTTATAGATATCATCATACAGGTCAACTAGGCAATGACCTCGGTCGCTCGTATTTGGGGGGCACTATGGCACAACAAACAAATTGTTTGCTCTTATCATTAAAAAAAATACTTTCGTTCTTTGAACATGACTAATACTCAAAGAACGAAAGTATCCACATGTCCATAGTATCTATTCAAGAGTACAAACTACAAAGTGTTCCTAGGACTACCACCTAGATTTCTAGTACCTAAGGAGTTTCATTGGCAACATTACACTCTTTATTGTGCACCTACATATTAGTCTTATTTCATGCAAATCAAAGCTAATTTAGATACATGTGTCTAAGGCGCCAAGTTGCCAATGTTTTACCTAGGGCGCCAAGGTTGATTGAGCCAGCACTAGATAGTTTCACACTTATGGCAAGATTTCTACAAGATAATTCCTGTTACTATTAAATATATATTGCATTTTATTAGGTTCGCGAGGCGAAGGGTCCGGTAGAGTTTGAAGGAGAACCAGTTGCTTATGAAGGCAGTCTACCTGGTTCTGACTTACCCAACAATCCTGCTACCCAGACTTGTGCGAGGGTCCGTCCTCTGAAACGAGAAACCTTCAAGAAGAGGAAACTATTGCAAATGCATAACTTGCACATTGCCACAACGAAAGCTGCTAAACCATCAGACATATGGTTTGTAAATTCTTATTGTCAATCATCAATTTAAACTTTTTTAAAGCCTTTAAGTTTTTAAGTTACTGCTAAAAAAGGTTTTATTATAAGAGAGTTAAAGGTATTGAAATTTGGTACCCATGCAAATCCATAATCTGTTTAAGTTAATGTCTTAAAATTATGGTTTTCTAAAAATAAAGTATAACAGCAAGATGCAATTGGCCACCTCATTATAAGTGCATGTGAGTGTGATGGAGGTGGAACTATCATCATCACCAGTATATTAATGTCCCCAATGCTGGATAGATTCAAATCGAAGTGAATCAAATCTAATAATGTAATGGGTCATGACCAATCACACAGGCCCAGTGCCGGTGGGTATTAACTTAGGAGCTTGAGATAATGGCCAGCCTTTGCCAAAATTGCTTAACAAGCTTATTGCAGACCTAGTTGACACCATATATAATGTGTTATATTTTGCAATTTATACCTTTGAAGAATTAATTTGCAGTTTTTGATAGGGTAGTATTAAAATTTGTCCCTCTATTGTGGCATTTGCTTAGTCATTACTAATATTATAAATGTGAAAGTATCTGGCTATCTGTCATGCTTTCCCAACTAAGCCGCTGAATCGATTTAATGAAATTTGATATATAGAGATATTGACCAAAGGACCTTACCTTTATATTACCTATAGGTTATCTTTTCATACCAAAGAATAGAGTTTAAATAAAGAATGAAAAATTGTATCCAAATTCGTTATTTGTAGACAAAAGCTAGGTAATATAAAATCTTTCTTAACTTCTAGATTTATGTTACTCAATGGATTATGTGCAAAGTGTTATCGCGCTTTTGTTATTATTTTAACTATGTTTGTTGATAAGGTTTCAATTCTTTATTGTAATGAGTCACTACACAAGATTATCAAACGTTCTAAACATAAACATACAAGTGTACATTTTTAGTAATTTACAACTATAGCAAAAGAATCACCGCAAAGAGTATTATAAACGATGTTGGGAAGTTCATATTCATCTGAGTAAACATTATGTTGAGACAGTACAAAAAAAAATATGAGTTTGTAAACTCAAAGAAATCTTCTATTTACCAGTGATATAGAAATAATAATAATGCTATATTGAAGCCTATTAATTGTCAATATCGTCATGTATATTTTCTGTAATAAATAAAATACTAAATTCTAAACACTATAATTTTCATGAGGAATTATATGAAAAGAAATGAGTTTGTTTATCATTAAAAATATTGAGAAATAGGCTTACTAAGCACACACATTTCCAAAGTTGGAAATTTGTCTCCAGATAAAGTCGATGATCAAATGTCGCGTTTATACGAAGAATAAATATTTGGAGTCCGCGTAGCAACTGCGCTTTTGTGGCTTAGTAGTGATCGTTGTGATTTTGAAGTTTCACATAATGAATTGGAGAATTTTTCACTTAGTATTAACTTGTGCACGTTTATTCGTTTTTTTTACTGCTTACTAAAATGTTAGACATTTTTATAACAAGTTTGTACAAATAACACAACTTAATATATCTCGAAAGTTTCAAGTAAGGGGCCGTCCATTAATCACGTGACGTATTTTTCAACATTTTTTGACCCCCCTCCCTCTTGGTGATACATGGTGAGGTTTAAGACTACCCCCTCCCTCCTTCACCAAATCACGTGTATTTAAAAAAAAAAAATCTTAATTTTTGACGTCACTTTTCGGTTTAATAATACGTCGAGGAAAAAAATAAATACACGTTATATATTACTAAATTCCCCAACCCCGCTAGTCTTATTTCGTCTCCCCCCCCCCCCCTTTCGAGCCTCATGTGATTAATGGACATGGATAGATGTTTTTTTGTTTACCTTTCTACCTTGATATTGGTCTACAATGTGTTAAATGTTATTTTGTTTGTAGTTGTAGCTGCGAGTACCCGTTGGAGAGTTGCGGCGTGTGTACCGGTCGCGCGGAGCCCACTATGCCGGAGCCGCCCCCCTCCACCCTGCCCCCCGCGGCCAAGTTGGCCCGCGCCGACCCCGCCTACCATCCCGTCCTCAGCGACGTTAAAGGTAACCTGTAGGGTGATTCTGTAGAAATCTCATCGTCATCCAAATTTAAACCAGTAGTTGCACAAACGTCCATTAAAAATGTCATTAGTTGACGACGTTACCCATACTAATTTGACATTCGTTACACCTTTAAGGCGTCATTAAACGTTAATGGACATTTGGACAGGGACCAATGGAGACATCAGATGCAAACCCGATACTGATCACGATCCTCAGTCATGAGGGAGCGACTGAGAGAGAGAGAGAGAGAGAGAGACAGCTGTGAAATACTAACTGAACGCCTTTTTACTATACTGCCCTGCAATTCTGTTAAAATCCAAATAAATTCCTTTAATATGTTAAATGAGTTAACATTTTTTATTATCATCATCGTAAGCCTTTTTTCGTCTCCACTGCAGCGTCTATGAATAGTTAAAGAGGATGGGCAATACTCTACACTGGCCCAATGTAGATTGGATGGTATTAACGTTTGCAAATCCAACCGGGACCGACGGCTTAACGTGTCTTCTGAAGCACGGAGTAGCTTAAGATAATAATTTTTTTATCAACCATTCTGTGACCGACCCTTGCGAAAGTTGCTTAACATTAATTATCGCGGGCCACAGTGCTTATCCACTACGTCACCGAGCTACTTGCACTACAGTTTTTTATGTATGAGGGTATTTTGTTATCTATACTAATATTACAAAGAGGGAACGTTTGTTTTCTTACGGGGTAGCTACCATATAGGCTATATTTGTATAGGGAATTAAAACGTTACCATAGCATTAGAAACCATTGTTTAGGGGCCATCCATAAATTACGTCACACGTTACGAGGGGAGGGGGATCGACGAACTGTGACATTAGAACAATATTTATTAGAATTTGTGTAGACAAACAGGTGAGAGGGGGTTAAAAAGGTCATGGATTTTGTGTGACGTAATTTATGGACGGCCCCTTGCTATTCAATTTGCCATTTTAATTATATCTACTTCATGATATGAATCGATGTACATATCCATATATACAGTTGAATAAGGATACGGAAGAAGCCGCTGGCGGAAAGCTAGCTACCAATTTTACTATTTGTTTTATATTATTGTTATAGGTTAATTAGTGTTTTTGTACAATAAAGAATTATTGTATTCTATTCTAGTAAATGAGTATTATTTACCCGCAGACATCCGCAGCGCGGTGCACATGAGCGCGCTGTCGTCCCGCGCGTGGTTCCGCGCCCGCGCCCGCGCGCGCGCCCCCCGCCCCCGCGCCCCCCGCGCGCCCCCGCACGCCGCCCCCGCCCCCGCCCCCCACGCGCCCCACGCCCACCACGCCGCCAGGGACAAGCGCCACTCGACCACCAGTCAGTATATACACGTGCACACCTTCACTACATAGTGTAAAACAAATTAGCTTTCTCTGTCCCTATATCCATATGTATGCTTGTATCTTTAAAACTACGCAACGGATTTTAATGCGATTATTTTTCATAGATAGGGTGAGTCAAAAGGAAGGTTTTTATGCATAATACAAGAAAACGTGAGCGAAACTGCTGGCGGAGCGCTTATACTATAATAGCCAGTTGCCCAATCCATTAAAATTGTCATTAGTTTTTAAAGCCACATTTCCCATACAAATTTTTACATTCAATAGAGCTTAATGGTATCGTATGTCTAAATACAAGCCGCGTGACGTCTTTAATTAAGAATGGATGACATAGCAAACACATAATGTTTGCTCTAATTATATGAGTCTTAAAAAATTTACTATGTTTTTTGAACCAGCCTACTAAATTTAGTATACTTAAAGGGTACTAGCTGACTTAGATAATAGGATACTTTTTATCCCACTAAACATTTCCCTAGGGTCCACGCGGTCGAAAGCGCTGGCGAAAGCTAGTATTTATATATATCACATGTTCTACATCTCTATTGCATATCATTTCAGGATCGAAAAGAGGACGACCGCCGCTATCACGGAAGACAAGAGAAAGAGATAGCAAGGGTGAGAGGGAAGATGAGACGGCAACATCAGGACCAGAGAGGTAGGGTGGATTTTATCAATGATTTTTTTATTGGATTGCACTGAAAGTGCTAATTATAAAAGCGACTGAAACATGTTCATATGCATTATAGTTAGATAGTCTTTTATAATTTCAAAATTGGATTTAAAATAAAAACAATAATTGTATTTTTCTCGAAGTTGAATTAACTCGTACAATTATCAATGCTAGCTAAACGTAAACTTGTATATTGCTTTATGCATAATTATTTTAATGATATTATATATGCAGTGCAATAAAAATTAGTTTATTTATTTTAAATCACATTCTACTTGCGAGTAATTTCTCGATTATTCAAAGATATTTTTTTGTTATTATTTACGATAAAAAACGCACAAAAAATGAACAATATATAATATTTCCATGTGCTCAAACTATAGGAACTATATAACTATAAGAAATAATTCTTAACTTGTACTATATTATTCATGTTTCTATAACAGGAGCCGCGGTCGTCAAAGTACAGAAAGTCGTACGCGCCGTCAATCGTACGACATCGACAATATCGTGATACCGCAGAGCATCGCGGCCAACACTCGCCCGCAGATACTCACGTACAAGGAGATAATCACGCCCAAGTCAGTACTGAATACCTTCGTTCATATAAAATCCATTATTATGGCAGGATAAGATGATATGCAGATTCTGGGACGTTATTAAACTTACTGCTGCTTAAAAAGAGTAAAATGTTTAAATTAAAAAAAAAATGTCTGCAGGCAGTGAATTTGTAAAAAAAAAATACTTTTATAGAATATAAGTATAAATAGCATAAAATAGAACACATGCACCAAGATTTTTTAACCTGTTCTGGTTTAAGGATCCCTTGCTCAGATCAAAAGACTGTAATGAAATTTAGTATGATTTATTTGTATTACAAAAAATGAATGGTTCTGTAAGTCTTGGTTTTTTCACTTAAAAACACTCTGAAAAGTGGTGCTGAATTTTTGAGTCTAAATATTATATATATGTATTTGATGAGTTGAGCTTTTTTTTTGAGCCCAGGGGTCATTAAGAATCGCTGTCCTAATAGATTATGCATTCACTTGGACATCATCATCAGTCCTTTTACATCCCCGCTTGGGCCTTCTTTATGGTTGGTTAAGGAGGATGGGCCGTGACGTTCCACGCAGACCCAATACGGGTTCGAGGGTATTAACGACTACAAATACAACCGGAATCAACGGCTTAACGTAAGTACCTTCCGAAGGACGTAGTATCTCAATAATATTTTTTTGGTCAAGTTGCTTTACAATAACAATGGGGGGCGCGGCGCTTATCCACTACGCCACCGAGCTACTCCATTCACTTCAACAAACTATTTGTGAAATAATTGTAAATCATACTTGCAATATCATCATTATTTTTGTGAGCAACAAATTACGGTTTGACTTGATTAATTTTGCTCTTTCTTTTGATAATTCGCCTTGTGATCATGGTAATAATAACAATTAGTTAACCACAGCAAGTTAATACAATTCATTATAATTATTTCATAATTTTATTTTGAATTGCAGATGGCGTGTATTAGAGATACCTGAAGTACCACTCAATAATGGCGTTTCAAAATCATCTGATCTACTCTCTGTAGAAAGTGAGGTCTGTATTCTTAATTACTTTCTTATATACTGTAATTTTTTAAAGTATGTATAAAATAGAGATGATGACCAATTTTTGTTTTACTTGTCCGTCAGGTAAATTTTTTTTTTTTACATAATTGTGACGTAGTAAGATCCCCCTACTCAACTTTAATGCATAGTATCTCTACCATTTCTTGTTTAAATGAAAAAACAAAACCTATTTCATATTTTTCTGTTAACTGACTGACGGACTAAATAGAATTTCTTTTTTATACTCAATCATCATGCTTATTGCTTGATGGTTTTATTCATCAAGAGTATATTTGACTCTGTGAGTACATGATTCAAGTTGAAATACAATTGGAGCCTCTACACTTAACCTAAGCTTTGAATATATAAAAAAAAGTGACATCAATAAAAAAATTTTCACACAAAATTTCCTAGTGTCAAGTTCCTGAAATATACAAATATATAAAAAAAAGTTGTATTGTAGCATCAACAGCCAATTTTGATTTATTAATCATCATGAGCTTACCATGTCCCCAGTGCAGTTTGTAACAAACACTGAGAATGAGCCATAATCTACATCGATAGGCTGACTATTGCGTATTGGTGGTTGCCAACAATTGTATATGCAACCATTAATTTTAGTGAAACAAATGATTTACTGAAACTACAGATGATAAATAATCATCGAATTGGTAATACTTCGTCATTTCTTATTGTCTATCAGTCAGTTGCACAAACGTCCATTAAAAATGTCACTAGTTTAAAGCGACATTACCGATACAAATTTGACATTCATTAAAGCTTAAAGGCGTCATTAAACCTCAATGAACGTTTGTGCAACTGACCCTATAAGTCACAAACAACAGATTATTTATTTCTGCTTCATAAATTTCGAGGTCTTTTCTAATATGTAACTAACTTAAAAAATATAGGCCCCGTTACTAACTGAAAAAAGTAGTTTTAAAATTTTCCGCTTTATAATATTAGAATAGATTGGTAAAAAATTCCAGGAGGAGGATATATCCGAGGCGGCGGTCCGCGCCCGCCACGTGCGCGCTGAGCAGCGCGAGCGCGGCCGCTACGCGCGCAAGCCGCGCCACCGCCGCGTGCAGGAGCCGCCCCCGCCCTCGCCCCCGGCCCCGGCCCCCGAGATGTGCGCCACCCCGCCCCCGGCCCCCACGCCGCCCCCGCCCGCGCAGGAGCGAGAGGTGAATGTTACTACCACTACACACACCAGTCTAATTCGATGATTTGCGGCATGAACTGGGCTTCAGATGATGGCTAATTCATGTTTAATGTGCATTTCTCATGCCGCATTCCTTTTCTCGTGCTTCTCTACTTGGAAATATTTCTGTATCTGATGGTATTTGACTGACGCTTTGACACACTATCTGTAACCACATTTTATCTTAATTTTGCATACATAAATGCTTGTATTTGCATATTGAAGTGTTCGTTTTCTGATAAATGCCAATTTCTTATTCTCAAATACTTGAAATTTATATAAAGTACAATAAATATGACCATTTTTTTAATATATATAGTTGAAAAACTTTTTGATGATCTTGTTAATTGTGGAAACCTGTTATTGGCATAATTTAAGTTACATCTGTCTAATTATCTGAACCATGTTTCAGCTGGATTTTCCTAAATAAATAAAGAATGAATATAAACTAAGCAAATAGGGTGTACGAGCAAGCGCGTACATTGTCTTGTCAGCATTTACACCGCTTAACCCAAATTCGTTCAGTCGTCATTATAATTACTTAAATATCATAAAATCAGTTCGTAATCAGCCACCAAGAGCGCTAAGCGTACTCATACATTCAATCATACATTCATACGTGGTAGTTAGTGTTAATAGTTGTTTCCAAATATACAGTTTATATGCAATCAAATATTATCATTTACCAAATCATTTCGGTATAACCCGAACATTGGTCCTTCGAGCTTTCCGAAAGGCGGGACCTCTACACCGGTATAGTAAATTTTGTATCGATTTCGTCAGCTTTACATACTCGTGTAGTGCTTCCGGTCAGTGACCTTCGGACAAAGTGATTGATTTAAAAATGTAAACTTAGATGATTTAAAAATTATATGAATCTCGTATTTCTCACCAGGATACTGCACGTTACTTCGTGATTTTACGATTTTTTTGTGCCATAAATAACCAGGAACACTTATAAAACTTCAATATTTTGCCAAAAAAATATGGAACATAGTAATAAAGCTGAAATTATTTTTACTTTGAGCTGTAATGTATTGAGTTCAGATATATAGGAACATTTTTGCAGTTTTAAAGTTATCAATTAATTATAAAAAGTGTTACTTTAGATTGATTACATTGAAATCAATCACATAATCGAATTGCACGTTAGAAAGTATGGTACTTTTTTCTACTGTTTAAAAAAAGAAAGTTTTAACAAAGTTTTTTTTTAATTTCATATAATAATGTGTCTGTAGCATTTATAGCATTGTGAATTGATTACATTATTTATAAATAGAAAGTTTATGAAGTATTAGTACATTTATAAATAAAACAATTTCATTTTGTCAATGTGTAATTTCACAAATTAGGTAATTTCAAAACACTACTACATAATTCAATTGCTGAATTCTATTTAAATTGCTTAGAATATTTCATAAAGTAGTATCTCGAAATCGAAAAAAAATTTTTTTCTTATTTAGAAAGGTTATTAATATCTGCCTGTCACTGGTACTAAACGATGCTTTGTTGGTAATCATTCTTCATCGAATTTGGCTGTAATATACATTATATTCAGCCAGTTGCATAAACTTTCATTAAACTTTTCGTTTATTTAAAACGACATTAGCCATACATTTGATATTCATTAGAGCCTAAAGACGTCATTAAATCTTAATTGATGTTGCACTTACATCAATTAAGATTTAATGACGTCTTTAGGCGCCCTACCGAAGTGTTTATCACTTACCTTTAACCCGGTCAACGAGCAGAGAGAATTTCGTACGTTGATTTTGTGCCTACTAATAGATTTCGGTAGGAACTGAACATGCCTTTAATGCACCACTGTTTAATCGTCATGAACATGATTTAAATAATTAAGTTATAAGAACGTTTTGTTAATTTCGTTGAATTTGTTATCACGAGGAGCAATCTCACGAGTCTCTTGCAATAGGGAATATGCGTCTGATTCAAAAAAGGGTTAAATATATTTTATTACAATCGTTATTGTTTGTAATATTTTTCAAAATTTGTTCGTTTTCATCTTGAAAATAATTATTAAAAAGTGCAAAATAAATGAGGTAACTTCAAAATATTTAAACGCCATGTTACTTGTCAGAGCGGATGTGACGTAAATGTGCTCGTATAGGGATGTCGTTGTTACTAACATCGATGCAATAACATCAAAGTATTAAGTCGCAAAATAAACAACAGATTACAATTTAAATGATGTTTTAGGCTTTTATTTTTATTTCACCAATTTGGTAAATTATATGATTTATTAGAAAAGTAGTATATTATTATACTTTAAAAAATCGATTAGTTGTTAATCGATTTGGATAATTGAATAATCATCAATTAATCTCTAGTCGTGTACTTTGACGTCACGACAAGAGCGCCTAAAATTCCGGTCTTTAAACTGCTCGTAGCTATTACTTATTTTCATCAATGATTGATGTTACAAATTTTTGGTTTTTCGGTGCCGGGTATTTTTTTACAGTTATATATCGATGTTAATTATCATATAAAACCATTTTCCAAAAATGTGCATATTCCCTATTTGTACGTCAAGTTGAATGTTTGTTATTCAATTCGTTGCAGTGTGTAAGGCCGTACTCACCACGTCAGTTCCCTCTTCCGGAGCGCACGTACGAGGGCATGGTAGCGGACATGCCGCAAGGTAAAATACGCTTGACCTATTTATTTTGATGACCAAGCAGTATAAAAGCTATTTACTCATTTTGACATTACACAACTTTTTAACAATTTCATGTGGAAGTCTTTAAAATATTAATTAGTTCCCGAAATCAAACTAGATGTTTCTATGGTACTTTCTTGTTTTCTCCATTTATTTCATCCTTCCAGTTTTCTTTCATGTATAAAAGTAAATTAATTTTTAAAACTAAATAAACAACTCAATATGAGTTATTTGTATTAGACTATTTGTACTGATTTGTATTGATATCTAAGTTTTGAACTTTGCAAATATCAGTTTTATTATATGTTAATTAAAAGGAACGGAAATTTCTATTTTTGGTCCATTCGCATCCTGCAAAAATCAAATTTTGCTAGAGTCGCCATCTAGTGAGGTACTTTTTTAGTGCTTTCTTTTTTTTCTTTAAATACTTCCTTAAATTAACACAAAGCGCGTCTATTGAACCCTAATAATGATTAAATTATTAATACGTAAATTAATAATTTAATCATTATTAGGGTTCCATACCAAAAGGGTAAAAAGGGAATCCTATTAGTGAGACTCCACTGTCTGTTTGTCACCAGGCTGTATCTCATGAATTGTGATAGCTAGTAGCAATAGTTGAAATTTTCAGTGTTAATATGATATAAGTAATTTAAATATTTTTATTTTAAAATAAATAAAACAGATTTAAGTCTGTAGCATTTTGAAAACTACTTGCAGGGCCTCACATGGTTCATGTTATAGTACAATTAAACAAAGTCAATTTAAATTAGGTTTCTATCAAGAGGCGCCCCCATCGCCGCCCCCGCCCCCGCGTGAAGTCGAGCGCAGCCCCCCCAGCGCGCCGGACCTGCCCCCAGACGAGTACTCGAGCGATCTGTCGCCGCTCTCCAACCCCGCATACGATGGAGATGACCCAGACGATGCCGAATGGGAACCGAGCGCTGAGAAAACTGAAAGGAGGAAATCCTCCTTGAGGTGAACACCTCTGACTTCACAATCAACTGTAAACTTGAAAATTCCATCGAGACTCGATAAGAGAGTCGTTATTTGGAAGATGATAATTCGATTGGAGGAAACTGTGTTCTTAAAGATGAAAATGTTGGAATTTCCATTGAAATTTGAAGAATGAAACATTAAAGTCGGACGCATTCGTTGATGTGGACAAAAAGCAGTGTGATTTGACAGTACAGTGTCTAGTGCAAGTGTGAAGTGATATATTTCATGTAACTACATTGTTTAAATAAGTTCCTTGACCTGAGAAGTAGCTGTATCTTTAAGGTAACACAATTGTCCAATTTTTTTAAAACGCAAATGTATTCCACTATGACTTTATTTGATTGAAGTTTACACAGAATACATTGTCACAGTGTTGTTCTATCTTAAACTGATAATTTTAAACAAATCTATAAAATGAAAAGCATCTTTTGTCACGTAAATCACTGAATTGCTAGGATTGTTGAGCATCACACATTGTAAATAAGCAGTCTTATTCAGCAGTTAGGTCTAAGGAAGATTGGGAAGATTTGGCATATTTTTCACTATTCATATTCGGCCGGATTATTCGGTTTTGGTGCCGAATATATTTGGTTTGATTATTTCTGTTTTCTTTACTACAGAAAAATTTATGCTACAATATAATTCAAGGAAATCCTATGAAGAATTTGTTTAATAAAATAAAGCAATGTAGCTTAAAATCATAAATATTCAGTTCATAAACTATAGTCACTATAATATAATAAGAGATCAGAAATAAAATAAAAGACCAATGCCAAGCTCCAGAATCTGGTAGGTTTTTAACTAACTTCATAATGGAAAGGAGGAGGCTAAATGTTCGACGGCGATAGGGGGCGTCCATAAATTACGTGAGATGTTTAAGGGGGGGAGGGGGTCGAGGCAAATCTCATCTAATCTTACGTTGGAGAGAGGGGGGGTCTCGGCAAATATCACGCTATTTTTTTTCTGATTGAAACATAAAAAGAAATACTATTTTGGTCCATTTAATCTAGATTGTATATGCTTAAGATTTAATCTTAAGCGTAATCGTATACGATTAAGATCATTCACTAATTCGTTCGAAAGAAAATAATTTCATTCATACTTCGACGCTATACATCTACTGAATGTTAAACCACCATATTTGTAGGGCTCGAACGATACTTTCGATACCGAGTAGGTATTGATACTTTCAAAAGCGATACTCGATACTGAGTACTCGATACTACAACAAGGCAAATACTCGCAAGTACTCATCAAATTGCATTTTGAAAAATCTCACGTGAGAATGGGGGAGGGGGTTGAATAAAATCTCACTACATCTCACCAGAGGGGGAGGGAGGGACAGAAAATTTAAAAAGCACCTCGCGTAATTTATGGACGCCCCCATATATATATTTTTTGTGTATGTTCACCAATTTTTCTGATTGATTTTCAATTCTTTTTATAATGGACAGCTTGATGGACTGAGGTGGTATCATTTAACGAAATTGAAACAGTAATTTTCCTTTAATACAAAATGTGTTTCATCAGATATCACCTAAATATTTTGATATGTTTATATCAATGATTGCATATTTTGCATTCATTCAAAATGAGGTCTTTCTATATGACATGTATTAAGTAGGTATGTCTATTGATTTCTTCTTGAATTATGAACCAATTTCAATCAAACTAGCTGTCACCCCGCAACTTTGGCTACATAAATTATAGCCACATCATGCCATGCCATGCAATGCAAACATACAAGCAATCAAATTTCTCCTCTTTATAATATGATTGCCTATAGATTATGATTAAACAAAAATCTCCTTTCATATTATACAAAAAATATCAATATCACTAAAACGGATGAGATTTTTTCTTTAAATAACACCAATTTTGCACTATTAAATGGATAAATCATACTTTTTTCCAAAGTGACTTATTCAAGACACTGCTATTGGAGTTGGATGCCTATTATTTAATTAATGACCTACTGTAATCCTCTATCCCGGATCAATAGCAGTTTCTTGAATAAGTCGCCTTTGTGATAAGTATTATTTAAGATTTTATTCTTCATATAGGTTCCTTGCTTCCGAAATCATTGTTCGCTATATTATTTGTAGCATTAAGAAACACTCTCGCTAAATAAAAATAATGAAATGGTAAACCAAATATTTCGGCCGAATATTCAGTTTGGTAAAAGTTAAACCAAATATTCTATAGAACACTCATGTTGTGAGTTTTCATACTTACATTTTTGCACTCTAGTACTGGATACAACGCAGTTAGCTTCTAAGTTAATGTTTTGTTTATTTGTGTAACATACCAGTCAGAGGTATCAATCAGACAATGTTTTGCTGCAGTTTTTATTAAACTCCACTCAATAAGAAGAAATATGACAAATCCTTAAACACCAATAAACTTTTTGAAGACTTAAAATAGCTTATTGAATAAAGAGGTATGTATTGTTACAATTCAAGATTGGATCCAAAATATCCAATTAGGTTTAGTTCTTGTTGTATATTAATAAATAAAACGACATTTAAATGCTTGCACTTTAAAAAATTATTATATTATTGTGGACACAGTATCTGTAAAAGATCCGAAACATCAAAAATTGTATAATTTGTCATAAATACATTCAATAAAACTATTTGGAAGCAGTCATTAAATGAGTAGTGACAATGAAAATGTAAGAAACAAGTATCTATCTATATATTTATAAATGATTTAATATTGCTGTGTGTAATCATTAATCAAGATTACATTTCGTTCATCTTTCAGTACACATATTGAACATCTTTTACATTGCCAATGTATGTTCGTAAAAGGACAAGTAACAAAATAACATTGCCATTATAAAGATTTAAATTATTAGTATTATTTCTATTCTACTAATATAATTCCACAAATTCTGCCTTTACACAGTGAAAAAGTATAGATGTTTATCTCAAAGACAAGATTTTTTTTTGTATTTAGTCAATGGTTCATAAGGGTAATATATACTCATGTGTTGTATCACTCTTTCCTTGCATTTTAACATGAAACACGCGAATGCATATATTATACGTGAATTGGCTTTAAGACATCAGTTTTTCCGCAAACATAGAACTGCAGTTAAAATTAACCGAAAAGCTTGAAGGCACTGTATTGTAAATACATTGTTCTAAGTTTTATAACATATTGATTTTAAGAGTAATTCGTTAAAAAGAAGGAATATTCAGTAGTAAAATTAAATATTTTTATTTTTGCTTGAAATAACGCCACATGGAGAGGTATAGTTATTTTATTGACTGTGACTATAACTAAAGTTTGATGAAATATGATCCCCAAGTATAGTTTCTCAGAATTGAAAATAAATAATGGTTTTGTTATGAGTAGTAAATATTGTAAAAAGGAAAAACTAAAAAATAATATTAAGGAAACTAATTTAATTAATGTTAATGATATGCTAAGATCTCCTGACAGATATAAATTTGTGTCTCCAGTTCCTGAGTCAATGTAATTGTTTGTAAAAGTTAGCATTACAAACCAAATATTATTGTAAAATTCAAATTTCAAAATGAAATATTTTCAGTCTTGTTCTCAAGGAAAATTATAGCAAAATAATTTGACATTATTTTCAAATCCAATATTTTTATTTCACTTATAACATTTAATGTACAGTTGTTAAAATTGTATATATTTTTTAAATCTATGAAGTCTCAATGGCCTCATGGTTTAGTAGAATAGTTTTTGATATTTTTTTGTCAAAATTAATTTTATCCAAAAGTCGAAGCTTTAGTGTTAGTTTAAGTTTAGAGAAAACCTTAATAAGTAAGTTTTGTATAAAATTGTAAACATGTAACAGTGTTAATAGTACTATTAGTCGCGATAATTAACATCTCATCCATATTTCCGCTGCACCCAGTTTGGACTCACTATAAATATTGCACCCAATACATTCCTTGGCTACTTATGCTAAAAACATTTAACTTTTAGTGAATATGGCAACTTGAAATTGTAAAGATTGTAAATCTTATTAGAATACATATTATTATTTGAACTAACTTTAGTTTATAATCTAACAGTACATATTATTATCCAGCTGTTTACAATTGACAAATATATACAGTACTCTTGAAAGCACATAAAATTTATTACACATAAGTTTATAGTCCAGGACTTGGTGTGATATGTTGTGTGCTGTAGACAGTCTAATAAGGAGGGTGCAGAAACATCTGAAGCGTGTGTTTAGTATGTTAAATGAACTTAATATTTATTCGCAAAATAATTTGTTGCCCTTCATGTCGCATAGCGTTGTGTATATAATATTATGGTAAATTTTATAGGGCACTGAATAGTAACATATAGACTGGTTATTTTAAAATGTACGAATCTCTATAAGAGTCGAGTGCGATGGGTCCCGTATACGAAAATTTGATATTAAGTTTTTAATGATGGCGTCTTAAATCGACCAAAGAAAACTGTATGGATATATATACTTTATTTGCGATAAATACATATGTAAAACTATTTTGAAATCAAATTGTAATTTTACGGGTCCCTAAATAGAAAATAATTTGATTTGCATTGTTATTGATACGGGAAATCATAATTGTGATTGCAAGTAGCTGAATGAACTTAAGTTGTTTCAGTTCAAGCAAAGCTTTAAAGATAAATTTGACTTTTAAATTTAGCATTTTTTTTATTTGTGTAGAAAAAATTTTTTTAATTAAAATACAAATTATTAGGTGATATGGTTGGTGAATTCAGTTCCAGGCAAATACATTAAAATGGTTTCTAAGTATATCAAAACTGTATGACTCTCTGTTAAACATTATTTATTTGGTGCACCATGCAGTGCATATTTACCTTGATATCCGACACTTGTAGATTTTTAAGCGCATCTCTAATATTGAAACAACTTAAGCTCGTAACTTATAAATAAAAGAATATAATGAACTAAAAGACAAAATTCGGTTATATTTTATGTGTTTGCAAATAATTATCTAACATTAAAAATGTACTGTTTAATGATAATGATGCTATTAGTGTCATACTTTTGAGGGATGATTGGGTGTGAATAATGTAAACAAGTATTTTGTTTTTTTTTTGCTATTTTAAAAAGAAGCCAAAGTCTTCTTGTTTGTATTGTGTAGGTAGGATTTAAGGTTTTTTAAGGTGACGACAAGTCCGATTAAGATGTGCTTGAGAAAATGGCTGTATAAAAAGTTACATTCGATGAGTTTATATTTTGTTTTATTTTTAACCCTCAAACCACATGCCATTCATGTCTGCCAGGCTAGCAGCGCCGACATCTTATAGGGATGATGCCTGGGTAAAAAAAAACTAAAAAAATCTGTTTAGTCCATCAGTCTGATTATATGAAAATATTAGATACGTATTTTTATTGCCGCAATTTAAAAATATACATAAAATTTCAGGAGTAGAGGCTCGCTACGTCACAACTATGTAGTAAATGTACAAAGGTGTGACGTCATGAGACCTTTTTACTCTAAGTAAACAAAAATAAGTAATAAAAAATAATGAAATGGATGAGTGAATATATTATTGAGCAAGAAAATAATTAAATGAGCGTTAATAAATTATTGAACGACCGGTTACGTGTGTTAATAATAAATCGAAATTTGTCGGTAAGAAATCTCATTATAAGCAATTCTGTAAACAATGAAGTAAAATAAATTTAAAAATAAAACAGTAATGAAAAAATAAATTACTTTTGTTTTGACTGAAGGAATTAAATATTATAAATTGTATTGTATAATAAGAGCAGGTTTGGCTTTCGACGGTCTGCCTCTCTTACTTTTTTGTCCAAGTGAAATGTTTTTAGCTTCAACTGGAGGTATGACGTACTTCAAGCGTATGGACAAGCCAATTATATGTTTACACATATATTTTAAAGTTTGGGCAAGTACATGTGCCTTTAAACCATTCTTCTTTATTTTGCGGCAATATAACTTTCCATTTATTAAAAAATTGCTCTTTAAACTCATCAAAATTTTTTGGTGGATTTTCAATTATTGCGCATTCTTTAGCTCCTGCAGCAGGTATTTGATAATGCGTCAAATTTTCATATCATCATTAGGTATGATTATAATCTCTTTCGGTAATTTGGCCCAATTATATGAATCTGTCCAGTCTTTCAGAAGCGTTATGTGTATATTTTAAGGACCACTCGTTCATCATGTCTTCGGCCACCCGCGCTAATAAGCTCCGCCCAACTAACGAACATTTACCTCTCTTATCAATGAATTTGAGTTCGGGTGTCACCACTCGCCATGATCTGCCGAACTATTTATCTCACCGCTCATTCCATCATTTTTACCGCTCATTCAGTTATTGGACTGCTCAATTATTTTTAGAATTGACATTACGGAACAAGTCCATATCGAAAAAAAAAAATAAGAATTGACATTGTATGATAAAATAATCGACTAATTGTTTTTTTATTACTGTCCATGTTTTACTGTCGCAATAATTAATCAACCGCCATTAAATTAAATAACTGCTCAATATGTTTTTCAACTGATTATAATAACATCTCGAATATTTAAATAACAGATCAAAAAATTTGTTCCCTTTAGGAAGTCACAGGTGTATTAAAAAGAAAACTACATTGTTTCTCATTCGGTAGGCATTTTAATATAATTTGTACCTTTATTATAACACATCTATATATAATTAATAGACGACTATACTCCAGCTATACATAGTCTACATTAATTTAACAAGCATAACACGACTTACGGTTTGCGTTTTTTACTCAATTTATTCCCTACATTATTGCGTGTATTACTATATAGGGATTAACTGCCAGTATCCGTTGTTTCGGAGATGTCTTTGTGGCGCTGCCGAACAAGCGAGCACAGCAACTAGAACTCGTGTATTTCTAATGAACTTTAAAAACTGTAACTCAATCGTCGATCTGACACGAAGCGGATATTTATATGAGAGATGTAACAGTGCCGTGCAGACGTCAGAACGGCAGCGCCACAAATATATTTCCTAAACTACAGTAGTTTAGATGGTTCTTATCAAGCGTGAATTTTGAAACATGTGTTGACGAACACAATAAATAGGAAGATATAAAACGAAATTATCAAACATTAGACAGACACAAAAGAGGACACCAAGATAACTTTAATCTAATGATTGAAAGAAGACATTGTCCAGCCATATATAAAAACATTATACCGCATCTGTCAGTAATAAAAATCCCCTTTCTTAATAATTCATACAAGTTTCGTCACGGTATAAGTTGTAGTAGGCAAAAATCTAACAAATCATTAGTTACATAACATTTAAAATCCTCTGTGTGTACCATTACTTACAAAATGTACAACTTACATAATGCAAACATCAATTTCCTACAATTTTTATATAGAGTTTAAAACAGATCATGGAATACATTTTATGGTTAATACCTGATGTATTGCTGTGTGCATCTACAATTCACAAACAATACAAACAACTATTTACACAACACAACCATACCATTTTAGGTACTATTACACACTTATTTAGCATGGCACTGTTAAGATTATAATTACTAACAAAATACTAATGTAATAAATCTATATTTTTTCTTATTTTTATAAGTACAAAAGTAGTTTTATGAATACATAAAACAACATCATTCAATAACTAACAAAATATAATACTTCACTTTTCTTTAGCACAACATAAAAAACTTAGCACATTAGTCGTAATAAAAACTTAAATGATATCAAATCACAATTATCAGCACTTAATAATGTCAATGTCTGATTTACACAGCCATTATTTATATATTACAATATAAATACTAAATGCATAATAGGAATGTTAAAATACCTACATAATATTACACTTCATAGATAAATCACACACACTATTATATCTATTTGATACGTTATAAAAGTATGGTTGTTATAAAAATATGCAAACACAAAAATAATATAACTGTAATAAAAGCATTACTTTGCGATACATATTGAAACTAATATGTACAGTCAACAGCTCATAGGATTACAAAAACTACTTTTTCTCTAATAAATTTCAAACCTTAATCAATAATTCAAAATCGATTGCAGAAATCGGTAATTTTGCACAAGTATAATAAAAAACATAATTTTTCTTAAAATTTTCATAAAATTATAAAGAACTAATTTTAAAGATTTGATAATTTCAATATAGTAATACGGGAACACCATAAGAGTCCTTAACTAATACATTATTTTAAGATTTCAGCACTCGTGTGTACATATCAGATTACTACATAAGGGTTTTCTGCAGTCAAATGAACTAAGCAGGTTTAAGATTTAGAACCAATTTAGATATAGGCTCTGTCATACTGCATTAAAATATATGTTTCAGGACAGACGATAGATGGAATGAGCTATATAAAATCAATTAGGGATAAGTTCTATTGTGATATATTCTCATACAATGTAGATAAATTTCTCATACCTATGTACCTATTACGTTATAATCAAATACATTATAATATCAATTTGCAAATCTTAAAATATGACTTAAATACAATTCATTTTGTTTAAATTTTATCTTGGAATTCCTTTATAATTCCTTGAAAATTAATTTAACTCAATTTTCAGTATTTTAATATCATTTTTTTTTGTGTTGCATTGTAATATTTTATTACTACACACACTACTCATTTAATAAAACTAAAAAGTAGTTTGTTTAAGTTTTAGTAGTTCAGTTACAAATTTTGATTCTGTAATTTCCAAATGATCATACATCTCTATTATTAAGGTAACTAATACTGCTCATATGATACATACCCATAATATTTACAAAATACATAATAAAGCAAAAATATTTATGAATACTAAAATGGTTACTTTACAATCATATTATCTTCTATTGCATATCAACGTATAACATTCTTACTAGACTAATAAGTTGGTATTATCCTTAGTATATAAAAACATGGCATTCAATACAATGTTTATCATTCTAACCATGTGTTTAGCTTATATTTCTAGATATTTCCTGAATTCTTGAGGCATTACACTCTTTGCAATACAAGTGGTTATCTAGTGGGTAGCAGCCCCGACCTTCTTGACGTGAGCAGAGCGACGTCCCGCAATCCTCGCAGGCGTAACAGGCGATGTGGAAGCTCTTGTCCAGAGCTACAATACGAACTGTCTCCTCAGCACCACCTTCTGGTACTATCGGCTCTCGACATCTTGCACAACGTGGTGCATATCTGTTAATATTTGAACGTTCATTTAAGATAGATAATTAATTTATGTAAATTGACGAAAACATAAAGGATGATAGTTAAAGGTGTTAAAACCAAGCCAATGTGGACTTCACTAATGTAAGTTGGCATCAATATATTACGGCAATGAACTCAATGGAGTTGATATGTAAAAACCAACGTAGCGTACCCACCCACCCTTTAACTCTAATGCCTTTTATCTAAGTCATTTCTTATTAAATTGAAGTGAAAAAATATATCTAATACTTTTCTATTATCTGACTGATGACTAAATAGAATTAATTGCTTTTTCTTAAACCCGTCATAATCCTTATATATTTACCTTAATATATTTACCTTTTGTGGAAATCATCAATGCAGTGAATTCGGTTCACAGCGTCTACTGTGAATGGTATTCCATCAAGACTCTTCTGGCAGACTACACATGTGAAACATCTTGGGTGGTATGGTTTGCCTGTGGCTCTGAGTATTCGGTCCAATATGGGGTCACCACAAACACAACATTTTTCTAGTGTGTCCAAGTAATCTCTTTCGCAGAGTGCTTTACCTTGAACTGCATAAAATGGACGACCCTGAAATTGAGTTTTATATAAATTTAAAAGTATCCCAAAATGAGCCAATTAGGCTTATTTGCAGTTTAGGGATTTATGATGTTATAAAATTATTCATAATAAGTGAAGGAAAACAGTGAAAGGGGAATTAAGAAGAGAGTGAAAATAATACAGGGTCAGGGTGCGTAATCATCGAAATAAATATTTTTTTGTTAATTATCATAATTATCAGCAACTACTGGCAAACATTTTTGAATGCAGAAATGCATCCGTAATTGTTTAAACTTATTTTTGTTGGTTTAAATTATAAAAAATATACAAACAAAACAAAAAGTGAAATGAAAATATAATCTTAATGAAAAATGCTATAAATACACTTGGTCCCTGGCACCCAAAGATGGTTTGTTTTCTAAGAATATTTTTCACTATAGCATTGTGAATGTGAAATTGATCAAATATAATAATGAAAATATAAATTAATAAAAAAAGAATTTAATTTTTTTTTATGAAATGGGGACTTTTTATTTTGTAGGTCCATCATACACAATATTCTCTATTAGAAAGACCATATTTGATAGTTGTTTAAAGATGATTCCCCTTTAATAACAAGTCATAAAGTACAAAGAGTGTTTGTTTTAGTCTTTTATAAATTTTAAGATTATTATCAAGGTATATTTATCAAGATAATTATCAATCAACCAGTTGCACAAACATCCATAAAGGTTTAAAGATACCTTTAAGCTCTAATTAATGTCAAATTTATATAGCTAACATCGCTTTAAACAAATGAAAATTTTAATGGACGTTTGTGCAACTGGCTGAATGACAATTCTCACTCAGAACCCTGAAAGAACATGTATAAGAACTCACTCAGAACCCTGAAAGAACATGTATTAAGGAGAGGAAGATATATTAAGGGATTGACATCAGGGAGGATTTATAAAAAAAAGAAATCAAAAGTCTGCACACCTTTGACAAGTAATCAAGATAAAAAAAACAACAAGCAATTGGAAATGCAGTAAAATTCACAATTCAATTTTCATAAATTATAGAATGTTTACTCTAATCTTGATTGACTGGACAATATTTAAAGGCACTCACAACATATGAAGTATGTGTGAACACTGAATATAGAATATTATGATAATATATTAGTTTTTTATAAGCTCACCTGTAAGTTTATGCCACATTGATGGCAACAGAAACACTTAATGTGGTAAATCCTCTCCATTGCAGTACAACCTGTTGTTTCACCCATAATTTTCTCACCACAACGATAGCAATTGCCACAATAAAGCTCTTCATCAGGTTCAGGAGTAGGTTCTGTGGTGGTACCAACATAACCCCCATATAAGGAAGTGCCTGATAATTGACTGCAAGGTCTTGGATTGATAGGTTCATACAGTGACTCGTAAGTAGAGGATGTTTGTGATCCACCATAAGTTGAAAAATCTTGGGCATTCACAGACGCAGAAGATGGTGGATATGCAGAACCGGGACGACGGAGCTCACTATAATTGGACTGAGCACATAAGTCACTTATTCTCGACACTTCCGATCTGGTATCAGCTACGCCCCCGTAAATACTCTCCGCCATGCTACGTTGAACAGGAATGTTCGAATAGACATGATTTGTGCCTCCAGGGGGCAATAAATTGCTATATAACAAAACATCCCCGCTTCTAACTCTTGCAGTATTCCTAACGATACAACTCTTCACTGGCACTAAATTTGAATAAGTGGAACTAGTACGGCTTCCATATTCTAGCCTAGAAGAATACGACGGCTCGCAAGCCGATTTTACAGTGTAACTTTGAGGAATTTGTGGCTGGGGTGCTTTGTTCTTTTTCGGTGGTATAGATGGTTTCATCTTGGCTGCATTGATATCATCTTGTAATTTCGCGTCCAATTCGTTTGCGTATATCCTCAAATCAGCCAATTGCTTATCAAGAGTATTCATTTTGTTTGATGATTTAAGTTTTAGCAATGTTTTTGAGGTATTTCATTCATAAAACACTTGTTAAAACCGTCAGGTAGAGTAAACTTGAAGCCGATCCCGAATCTTAGATTTTTTGATTGATTGATCGAATGTACCAGTGTGACCAGATTTCAATCAAACTTCATCCTAAGAATCCCGAAAAAATAAAAGAGAAAACGTTTTTGGCATTTCAAAATAAGGACTGCAGGTTCTGTGTAGCAATATAGCATAAAAAAAATATTTGTGAATTTACAAAATACTAGCCTAGGACTAGGCATTATGTATTATCTATGGACTAGGTTTAGCTGGCGTCGTCGCTAAGTCGAGTCTCGATAAGTCGAAACGCTTGACGCGATACCGTAGATTTGATCTGGCTCCAAAGTCAGCACGCAGAGTGCGGTCCATTTGTGGTCAGTGTTCACAACCAAATAACGATACGATCGATAATTGGCTTGCCAATTATCGTATTCTGTAGTGAAAATTATCGTATATTGTGTAAAAATCAGCAAAATTATCGTACACCAGTTACCAGCACAATATGTCAAAAATTCGCAAATAACTTTAAAACAAGTTAATAAGGCTTAAATTCAAATGAAGTAATTTGACAGACATATATAGCTTGACATGTTGTTATAAAGCAACTGGCTTGTATCATTATACGTTAAAAGTACTCGATACTTGTCACGATAAATAATAATATCAGCATGACAATAATACAATGTATGAAGTGTTCCTTTCTCGAGTCTACGGACAAATTTGGATTCGTATTTGTATTTAGATCGTGCTATGTTTGTTCATACACAAAAGGGAAAGAGTAAATCATCATGATATTGACTATTATGCTAGAAATAAAGGAAATTTTTAAGTTTGCATTACCATGAAATTATCGTACAATCCGCGTACAATAATAGTAGGTTATCTTATATCGCACATGTATTGGATGTAATTATTTGACACACAATAGTATCGTCTATCTTTTGCTGTCGATATCGATAATATTTGAACCTAGCCGATAGTTCCATTGTTTATGTTCTGTGGTTTCGAACTTTGGGCCATATTTAATGCTTTTGTCAGTACTGGCTATGTAGATGGGTTTGGTGTAGATGCCCTCTTATACCTTCTTATAATTTCGGAAAGTAAGTATTATCTCAGTCAGTTGTAGAATACAGAATTGTATTAAAAAATGAAACATTTTGGATATCGTATCAGTTTTATTTCTACAAAATAGTTACTGTAATTTTATGATTTAATTGCTAACAGCATCGTTACTGCCCGCAATTAAGTAGTTATATGACTTTGTTATATTCAAAAGCGATAACGTTCCGTTAAAATAATTGTATATTTTTAATTGTGAAATGTTAGTTTTTTGTTAGACTGCCCGTAGAAATGCCTTTAAACAATTATGAATTTCTTATTACGATACTATTCAAGGTCTTTATTTTCAAAATAGTTGTAAAATTTATTTTAATTTAATTAGAAAATCTTAAAAAAATCACTAGTCCTATCATCCAGGTACCTGAGATGGTATTCGAAATTTTTAAGAATTTATCGAACATAATGTTACTTTAATTTAAGGCATAGGACGAATGTAAAAGTTTAAGATAACACTTATAATAGTACTTTTCATTGTAATTTCTAAATTTCAGATTCTGTTGGTTAATGCCTCAATTAATTCGGACATGTTGTTAGATGATGATGGTAAGTGGGAATTATGTACACTTGGCTGCACGTCAGACTACCACAATATGTCAAATCTTCTCGTTTGATTTTGAACTCTACCCTTAATGGATAAAGGTTTAAAATCAATTGGTGACATTTATTAGTCTTGTATAGCCTGACGTGCTGTCGACTGTACTCTTCTAAGTTTTTATGTTGCCTAAAATACCTAAGGCATATTATCTTTTCATTGAATATTATAATTAATTACAGAAATAACAACAACAGAACAAGCTGAAGAAGAGGTATTCAGAGCAAAATATTGACACACTAATATTATTGGAAATTTTAAAAGGCAATTTGTATTTATAATTACACATTTTACATTTCAGTGGCATATGGATTTCATGCCAGTAAGTAATGAAAACAGTTTAATATTTAGATTTACACGATTCATTATATATAAACGTTTTACCCTCCAATCTGCAATAGGCCAGCGAGGAGAGTCATGGCCTATCCTCCTTAACCATCCATAAAGAAGGCCTGAGCTCCTGCAGTGGGGACGTAAAGACTTCGTATTTGAGACATAAAAAAATATTTTCATTTTGTAATATGAACGCTCAACTGCTTAGTTAAGATCTTTCTTCAAGAATCTGCATCAGTAATTTTTTTGTTGTTCGGTTGGGAGAGAGAAGAAGGTAATTTTAATCAATTTATACATACAGGACACCTGTGTTCTATTACTATAACTTTGACTTTTATGTACTGGGAGAAATACATATCATTTGTTTCTACTGTAATGATTTCCTTATCAGACGGGATATCTACCGGATAGTGTGTACAGGGAACTCGCTTGGTACGGCATACTACAAATCCAGCCGCTTCACCATAGCTCAAAACATAAAGTTGCTGCTCATTTGATATGGCAGCATACACTCGGCCGTCCTCATGTTATTATGGAGAATCCACCCCAGGTCAGTGACAATACGATGTTAATTGTTTTTATAGGGAATAGTAAAATTCTTCACATTCTTTTCAGAGTAATTATAGCCATCACGTCGACGTTAGTGACCTGCTCTTTGAGTTGTGAAACTTTTACTTATTTGTTAAACTAAGATACATCTACAGTCTGCAGCAACTACGTACTGTACATGAGTTTCGCTCCTACATTAAGCATACTCAAGCATTTTTACACAATGTTTTAATGATTACATAATGGTAATGATTATGTATGTATAGTTTACCGTAATTTAACAGTTTTAATACTGTTACGTGTTCGGGTTTGGGATAAATAGTAACGCTAATTAAGTTTACAATCCGACTTTATTTAATTAACAAAATCACGAAAATAACTCTAACAATAAAATATACACTTTTACTTCACAATTTCATTTTAAAACTCAAGTAGTACATTCACTGCTCTAGTTAGCTTCCAATCGCTTGTTCAGTTCACTGAAGAATGCCCGGACGGGTAGTCTACCTCCACTTCATAGGGGCAGATATCACATCTAGAAAAACAAGAAATATAGAACAGCTACTCGTCTCTCTCTTACCCAAAGATTGACCCTTTCTCGCCGATGTATATCTGACACAGGTAGTTTCAATAGTGTTCGCGCGATTCAATGGCGCATAACGCCATATAGTAATGTGCAGATGAACCGCGGCGCTGCGCTCCGTTACAATACATTAGATTTCCGCAAGGTATGTTCTGACTCTATTAAACAACTTTTTAATAATAAATCCGTTTCTTTGCAGTCAACTCAATCACCAGGTAAAGTGAGCCGTCAAATTTTGGCAGAGGAAGCTGCAAAGTGGTCGAGGGAGCAGCGTGCCGCTCAAGAAGTCCTAATGGAGAACATAAAGAGTGGTGGCAATGGTTTGACTGTTCGTACTGTCATCAGTGCTCATATTAAAACAATTTACATAATACAAAATGGTACGAAAAATTTTTTTTAAAATCTTTTCTACGCAATATACACGTATTACAAGTATTTGCCTTTATAGCGGAATTTATTTATATTTTTCCGGGAAAACTCAGTTTCTAATATATCTATCGATCTTCACGCCGTATTCGGACCAAATTAAATTAAATTTTTAGGAACCGTAAGGTTGGATGTGTGGTAATGGAGACAACTGGCCAGGGAGACTAAAGGATAATTGTCTCCCTCCGAGCTAGGTGTTGTTAGCCCGGGGACCGCGGTCCAACCGATGTAGGTTGGACGTTCTATTTATGTTAATTGGTAATGTAACTTATTCTGTGCGATGTAGGTTTCTTTGTTCTAAATGTCTTCTAGTTATTAATTTATGCTGTTTGTATTGGTGCAGCGCCATCTCGTTACTTGCTGTTGAAACTTATTGCAGTTCGTCTTGCTATCGATGGCTGTGACGATGCTAGTCTTCTCGCTATCGATTGTTGTGGCGATGTTACTGCGATGAATTAGATGTCGCTATGTATCAGTCGCCACAGTACTTTCCCCCTAGACCGAAGGTCGATCCATGTTGATAGTAGGTGGTATGCAGTCAGTGCTTCAGAGCTTGCAAGTGCCATGGTTGTGACGTCGGGACCGAAGCTGCTGGTGTGCAGGGCTGCCACGCCGGTGAGTTGTGTGTGAACTGAGGTCCGGTCGTGGGCTGCGAGGACCAGGTCGGATGATGCCGTCGATGTGGTGCCAAGAATCCAGGAAGCGCCGTTGATGCTGCTGTGATGGACCTTGGTGTTGGCTGGCTTGCTGCTGAAGTGGCTGTGCTGATGAGGGATGAGAAGCTGATGATGAAGGGTGAGAGGCTGTTGATGAAGAGTGATGGCTGCGTTGTGATGCTGAAGGTTGCTGATGTTCTGCTGGGGTCACCACTTTAGGAACCTAAAGGTTGAAGGTTGGGTCCCTATTGTGGTGATGGAGACAACTGGCCAGGGAGACTAAAGGATAATTGTCTCCCTCCGAGCTAGGTGTTGTTAGCCCGGGGACCGCGGTCCAACCGATGTAGGTTGGACGTTCTATTTATGTTAATTGGTAATGTAACTTATTCTGTGCGATGTAGGTTTCTTTGTTCTAAATGTCTTCTAGTTATTAATTTATGCTGTTTGTATTGGTGCAGCGCCATCTCGTTACTTGCTGTTGAAACTTATTGCAGTTCGTCTTGCTATCGATGGCTGTGACGATGCTAGTCTTCTCGCTATCGATTGTTGTGGCGATGTTACTGCGATGAATTAGATGTCGCTATGTATTAGTCGCCACAAATTCATTACTTTATTTAACTTCTTTGCACAAATAAAGCGTAAAAATGGCGTACTTAATGCCAGTAGGCATTCTCTAACAGTCAACCGGAGAATTATGATTTAGATATATGCTTTATTAAGGCGGTGCTGCACGAAAATTAAATAAAGTCTATATAGACACTTGTACTATATGATAATTAATTAGAATCTTGTCTGATTTATAACGACACAGAATGTTTTGTTATAAAAAAGACAGTCAATATTCACAAATATTATACAGCTTTTGCAGTTTTGATACTTATTCGTATTGATACTTGTTAACGACTGATGGGAGGGTGCGGGAGGACCATTTCATCCCAAGAATGGTTCTGTGCTCACTCCACAATAGGATGGCCGGTTAGCGATTTGAAAGATTGATTGTAGATTGTACATACGGCTGTAAATCCGGTTATCAGAACAAGTCAAATTTCACCAGTTGATTTTAAACTCCACTCTGAAAATAATACGGTTTAAAGTATGTGGAGTAACTTTACAAATTTATATAACGTGACGTACTGTTGACTGTACATTTGGTTGCTCGGCTTCATCGAACATCGCCTGTCGTACTCTTGAAACATAACCAACATTAAAGCTGCTCTATGTTCTACTATTAAAACTAAATGCGACATTTGCATCGAATTCAGTAATTTGGAAATCACACTTAATTTAATCTAGGGATTTTAAAATTTATGAACTTTGCATTGATCAATATTCATCTCGTTAGGTAATTATTACACGTGTCCTGATGGTTCCGAGCCAGATTTGGATGCTTATCGTGTTCAAGCTAACATGCATGAAAGGAAATGCACATACGGCAAACAATCTATACCGGTTCCCGTGGATCCTTGCATTGAGGCTGAGATGGCACCCATAGAATACTCGTTTCACGAAGGTTGGATGTTCTGCCTAGGAAATGGCGAAAGAGAAAATAATTATTTCCAGAATGGAACGTTAGATTGCGGAAATAAAACAAAGGTAACAAAGTGTAAAAGAGCTGTTAAAACAGCTTATAAATATATATGTAATATGGCTCAGGTAGAGGGTAAGCAACTTAAGCGAAGGTAACAATAATTTATTTTGTGGCAGTGAATTTCCTGGAGACTTGAATCGTTGTTTTCGTCTTTTCTCGTGATAATAAAAATAATAGTACTTTAATCGCTCAATTCATAATTAATTACATGATACATTAGATTGCTAATTACATTTTTTATCCTAATTTTGTGAGAGTAGAGACAGTAGAAACCTGTGTTGCACCAGGATCTATTATCGTAGATATTCCAGGATAATATTTTAATAGCACATACCTGTGTTTTTAATATCTAGTCATTTTCATTCTCCTGTTATCCTATTAATATTATAAAGGCGAAAGTTTGTAAGTATGGATGTATGGATGTTTGTTACTCTTTCACGAAAAAACTACTGGACGGATTTGGATAAAACTTTACAGCAATATAGGTTATACATCAGAATAACACATAGGGTACTTTTTACTGGGAAAACTTCTCACTCCCACGGGATACCGACTTCCACGCGGACGAAGTCGCGGGCGTCCACTAGTATAAATATAATTTAAGAAGATATAAGTAAATAATACTTTTTAATATTTATTTTATAATATTTCAACAGGTTGCTGTTAATGAATTTTTGGATCTTTGTGCTATTGATAATAACATTGTAATTACCTTCGATTATTTTGGGGATGAACCAAGAAAAGATATGATGCATAATGCTACGTTATGCACATCATGGGATCCTTGCCGGCTATCATATTTGTATCGTCTAGAGGTAATTATTATTTTTATAAATAAAATCTGTTATTTTTTTTTAGTTAATTGATGGATCCCTGGCCATTGCGGGGATATAGGCGTGCTAACAGGTTATTTGCTCTATGTGAGTAACGGGACACCAGGGTACTAACCGATTTCCTACTATCCGTTAATTCTCTGATGATATCATCATCATTTCAGTCCAAAAGAATTTACACTGAGCTACTTTACTACGTCGACAAATTTTACTGTATGATTGTTGCTGTTATTGAAAATAATAGCCAAGTAAATATTGTAATTAATTGATGAAACTTTCTTTGTCACTATTGGATTACTTGCCTTCAAAATGAGGAAGTATTTAAAAAAAGAATATTAGTTCCCGAAATCAAACTAGATGTTGCTATGGTACGTTCTTGATTTCTCCGTGACAACCTTTCCGATTTTCTTTCAAGTTTAAAAGTAAATTAGTTTTCAAAACTCAATAAACAACTCATATTCTATTTGTACTGTATCTGGGTGATAATATGGAAACCGAACTTCCGGTTTGATACATCCGTCATTTCCGTTCGTCAAAAATAATTAAATTGGACTGACTTTTTAATATTCAAATCTATATATAATCTGATATCGTAGAAGACTGCGATGTCATTGATTTAAAAAATCAATTTTAAATTTATTAGGTATTGAAAAAAAAACGGTTTTCTCAAAACTGGGAAAAAATAAGAGAAAAGCAATATAAGCCGTATTACCTTTTCCTTTAAACGATTTGTTCCTTTCCTCGGTGAGCGTTGCAGCCACACAATTTCACAAAAACAGTTGTTTTGATATCACGTAAGCTTTTCAGAAATATATTTATAACATACGTAGACGTTAGCGAGACTCGCAATCGAATAATGCCGGTTGTTTGTTATAGTTTTTATAGCGGAGTGCGCCAATGCGCTCACACAGGTTTCATATCGATTAATGTCGATCGAGTTTTATGACTTGAGAAATTCCTCAAGCAACTCAACCTAGGTTGACGGCTTGTATGGGGCTTTCCATACTTGTTAATTTCCTATTCCTCACCATGAATAACAGCCAAATACTGAAACGTTTTGAGAAAATAGAAAATGTCGGTAACCCTTTTAATTTGTTTAAATAACGATTACGATACAACGGATGTATTATAGCAAAAATACTATTACTAAAAATAGAACTTTCATTCCGAATGGTTTTAAATGAGAATACCTTCAATACCTATATATATTTGTTTATACACATAAAATTTACAACAGATCTAAACCGCGGACCAGTGACATAGGTCGTGTTATTATTAATAAATAATTATGATAATTATAATTTTTTTTAGCCGCCGCCAGTTGAAATGACTCCTTCCTTCCCTACGTCAACACCAAATCCGTGCGAGACTACAATTTGTCCAGAATGTGTCGAAGGCTATACTGAAGACGGTGGAGTAGTGATTAATGGTAAAATAAAAGTTGTCTTAAATATTATTAACGATTAATATTGGGTTAAAGTTGCTCGGTGGCGTAAAGGACAAGCGCCGCAGCCCGTTATCGTTGTTGTTAAGCAACTTACGCAAGGGTCGGTCACGGGATGGGTGACAAAAAATTATTATCTCGAGCTACTTCGTGCTTGTGAAGGCACGTTAAACCGTTGGCCTCGACTGCATTTGCAGTCGTTAATACCCTCCAATAGGTATTAGGCCAGCGTGGAGGGTCATAACCCATCCTACTTAACCATCCATAAGGAACACCTGAGCCCCTGCAGTGGGGACGTAAAAGGGCTGATGATGATAATGATTAATATTAGGGGCTAAAGAATAAATTTGTATTTTTACATTTGGCAAATTTGTATTAAAATTTAGCTAATTATCAATATTTCAAAGGATACTTCTTTTTCGACATTTTACGAAATTTCTTATTTTTGAGTATCACGCAATCGAGCGATTTACCAGTAACCACCCGCCTGACTCCTGCTGAGTGTGATTGAGACTGACACTTAATGCTTTTTTTTCAATCTATGATTCAGTATTTTTAATCGTACGTTCGGTCATCGTTGGTATTGTTAGATCTGCTCTGCGCAAAAAGAAGATTCGCCACATTTATTAAATTTATATTTTCATATTACTTTCAGTTTTATCTGATGATGAAGAAGCAAAAAAACATTCACGTTAAAAAACTCGCAATAAAATTATATATATTCATTAAAATGTGTTTGTTATTTCTTATCCGAACCAAATATCGCCACAACATCACTAAGATGTCGTATCCTATGACTAGAACCATTCCAATGAAATAACACATTTACAGGGTAAATTGATAATCTTTTATTTTATGAAGTCGAAAGTGTAGTACCTAACTTCATTAAAAATTACCAATTTATTTAATCTTACTAATGTGGGCCAAGTCAAGTGGTGATTTCGTATGATAATTAATCAAATAATAATTACAAAATTTATTACGTTTATTTTAATATCCATGTTTTCAAGAATATAATGAACAACGATATTATGACATAAGTCTGGATAAGCAAAACCAACGTTGATAACGAAGGATTTTTTTTATTAAATATCGATATTTATCTGTAACCGATGAATATCGACATCACTATGTAAAGAATGATAGAAGACACACTTTTCAGTGTTGCCAACTGTAAACCGAATTAAGAAAAACCCTTATTAAAATATTTTAAGAGCATTTTATTTTTATACTGTTTCCTAAAATGAGCAGTAACGCCCTCTTATGTGTTCCTTTACTGCAGGCCTAAAAGAGGGGTGGTAAGAGACCGAGAAAAAAAATGGGGGCGTTGTGATGAGACTTGATTGTAATTTCATTTAGCTAGGAGGCCTTTTAAACACTGACTGCATGAGTTCTCGACCCTCAACTAATATTAGTTAAGAGATTACTCAAACTCAGTTTGATAATTCTCTCCGCGTAGGTCATCCTGTGATAGATTATTGCATTAGCTTTATGTTACTAATGACGAGGATTTTAACCGGTTGTTATATCATACTGAAGTTCGTTGGCTATCAAGAGGCAGTTGTCTTATTTGATTAAACAACTTGTTTAATTCTGTGAAAGAGTTCTTGGAAACTAAAGATACAGAACTGCACAACAAGCTCATTACATTAAAGAATGACATAGCTTATATGACAGACCTGTATAAATTGTTCGACTTTAGGCAAAAGTTCATTTTTGTAGGAAACGAATGGACCAAAGGCAGGCAGTTCAAAACATAAACGATATCCGAAAAAGTACAAATAGAATATGAGTTGTTTATTGAGTTTTGAAAACTAATTTACTTTTAAACTTGAAAGAAAACCGGAAAGGTTGTCATGGAGAAATCAAGAACGTAGCGTAGCGACATCTAGTTTGGTTTCGGAAAATATATATTTTTTAAATACTTCTTCATTAAAACAAAAAACGTCGTTGCTGCTTTCGCTGCCAAACTGTTTCTACACAAAAAGAATATGGGCAGACGTGAGTTTTCACAATTTTCCGAATTTATCAAAATCTTGCAGTAACAACGATTTATTTGCCTACTGCTAACATTTCGAAAACCTCTATATTGACTTCATCGAACGATACAGGGACATTTTGAAGTTGGAAATACCAGGCTGGGTGTTGGATCCGTTTTCAAATGTCAACCCAGCTGGAAGAAGAACTAATAGAATTGACTACAGACGAGGAATTAAAATAAATTTTGACATGTACTTACTGCATTTTATGATTTCCGTTCTTTCGCTCAGTATTGTTCCGCTTTTTCACCACCTTTGTTAACAGTCTTGAAGAAAAATTGCCAGTGTTTAAAATCAACAACATGTAAAGTAAGTACATACAGCAGCACGTCAAATGACGCCAATGTGTCAAATTATCGCAGTTGATTTTCAACTCTAATTATAAATTTATAAAGATTTAAATTCAAGTGAAGGAATTTGACAGTTTTGTAGACATACCTACTGGCATGTGATCATCTGTGATGCGATGTGATTGTGAACACGTTGTGAATGGCAAATGATGATGTTTAAAATAAAATTATAGTTATATTAAAATTAATTTATAATAATAACAAGCGGTTTAGGAAATTCCTACACCGCTTCCATCTTTAATTATGGTATTGTCACATAATCTCCAAGACGTTTTTGAAGCTTCGTGTAAATTTTCTCTATTAAGTTTACCAACCCTGAAAGACATTGGGTTGGATATTCATTTTAGTGCAATCGATGTGAACGTAAGTTATTTTGTATTTATTATTTGTATGAAGTGTAAGAATATACACAATTTTTTTTTACCAAAGTGTATAATACAACAGTTAAGAAGTGTTATCACCACCACGATGATTCTTAATAACCCTATAATTCGATTATCGAACGGTTAAAAGTACTTTTATTATGTTTTATATGAATAAAGATAATTTTAACTTAGACTCACTATCACAAATCATCCAAAAGTTAGGCAACTAAAAATATTGACACTGCGACCTTACCATCTGGTCCATTAATATTGATCCATGCCATCTGTTATTACCACCGTTTAAAGCAATAAGTAATTAAAAAATAAGTTAGTATTTTTATCTTATATCAAGACTACAGGCATTAAACTAGTTTCATAATTAAGTGCATGGTTATTTGTTAATGATACTCAATCAATATCCTAATCAGTGGATTGGAACATTTAATTGATTAAAAAATTATGAGCTGTGGAGTGCTACAGCTTGTAATTTTCTAATGAAATTCACTAACATGATTGTAGATTAGTAAATAGTTGTATGTAGCAAATCACTATTGAGTATTAATTAATTGCTAATACTGCAATGAACAAATAAGTATTGGCCCTTTTTTAAAATTACTATTTATCTATTTTTTTTTGTCCTTGCTTTTAAAATTTGCCCACACTTCATAGATGTTTAACATAATATTTTTTCCAGAATGCAACTACTACTACTACTGTATATAATGGTCCAAAACCGATACTCCCATTTGCTTCGAGTGAACCATTTGAAGCCAATATAATTGATTGGAGATATCTGTCCTCTCAAGACAAGAAATGCAAGGCAGTTTATGAGATCACATTTGATATTGCAGTATGTTTATATTTTGATAAAATGACTGAAAAGTACTCTTTGATATTTAAATGCCATTTTTATGAGATATCTTTATCAATGTGTTCAGTACATTTACCTTGAAAATCAGACTAAAATATTAAATTAATTTAACCTTTAAACATTGCTTGTATGTACTGATTATGATCTATTATTTTGCTCAAGTGATAAACTATTTAGATCTCATGTCAGTAAGAAAAATGTTATTAGTTGGCCACCTGTATACATTGCCTATAAGAATCATAACATCACTAGTTTGTCACAGTGACAAGAAAGATAAAACTAGCTCAGTGATGCTCTATTACATGCTGCAACTCTTGCTAGAAGACTGAATAATATAGTAGTGTTGTAATTCCCAGATGCCTTCCAATCCCTTTTAGCTCATTAACAAAACTACAAGAACAGTCAATTGCCTGTTTCTGATATGATGAGAAGATTATTTTTTTGAAAACATTTTCCATAAATGCAATGATATATCTAATGAAATTCCATAATGACTATAATATAAATTAAAAGTATTTAATTATTTTTTATTTCCAGAAAAGTAACTTTACATTTAAGCCTGGTGATACAATAGGTATTTTAGCACAAAATTTGGAAGAAGATGTAAACACAATCATAAACCATTTAGATTTATCATCTAAAGCCAATTTACAGTACACACTCAGTGACTCTACAACTGATAACCATAAAGGTTGTAAGATTCCCCCACATATACCTGTAAAATCAACTATAAGATATGTTTTGACTTCTTGTTGTGACATCAGGGCTGTGCCAAAAAAGGTAAATAAACATCTTATAATGTAAATTACTTTTATTAGTACCTTAGTGAATATTGTATAAAATTAGTTTAGCTATAATAACTAAGTATGGTATGATGGGGTTGACATGTTCAAATGGATAAAAACTTAAAAATAGAATAAAATCTATACATGTATCTCCGTCATATTGGAGGAACTAATGTTTTTTTTTTAAATAATTCCCCATTATTCATGAATTTTCTTTTAATTACAGATATTTCTATTGGCCTTATCAAGACATACAAAAGATGAAGACGAGAGGAAGATATTAGAATATTTATGCAGTAAAGAAGGCTCTATAGCATATAATAGTTATGTACTAGACCAGCAATTATGCCTTTTAGATTTACTTATCATATTCAAGAGTTGTAAGCCGCCAATACAAGTTTTACTAGGACATTTACCAAGGCTACTGCCTAGGCCTTATTCAATTGTAAATAGTAGTGTTAAGAATCCGAATGTAGTTAAAATTTGCTTCTCTGTGATGGATTTAGGTCACAACAGGAAAGGTCTTGTAACTGGTTGGTTAGAGAATAAAATAAAAAGAGGAACATACTCTATAGAAGAGAAAATGCGGTCCTTGAACCTAAGCAGTGAGTTGGAAAAAGTTTCGATTTATTTAAGGAGAAATATATCAGGTTTCACACCACCTGTGGATTTGAAAACACCTTTGATATTGATAGCGACTGGCACAGGAATTGCTCCATTCATTGGTTTTCTAGAACAGAGATCATATTTAAAAGAAAGTAGTCAAGAAGTGGATATGGGCACTGTGTGGTTATTTTTTGGATGTAGACATCCAAATTCAGATTTTATTTATGAAAAGGAGTTGAATATGTTTTTAAATAATAAGACGATTGATAGGTTCAATAAATCCTTCTCAAGGATGGAGAATGCTGAAAGCAAATATGTTCAGGTAATAATATTTTTTTTATAATGTACAGTCAAGAAAACATCAATGGCCTTATAAGGACGTATTACTGCAATTATTATTCGCCAGATAGCAGCACTAGTACATGTAGTAAACCGTTATTTACAGACTAAAGGAAGTGTGAGCATTGAGCAGTAAATGAGTAGGAACTTAATATTTTTAAAATTTATTATTAGTATGATCGTAATTTTACTCAATAATACACCAACACTGCATATTTGGGCTAAAGAAGGAAGGAAATAATTTCCAAACGACATTTTTGAAAGCTTGTTTACTGTGCTAATGCTGCCATCTACGCCGAGTTTTGCGAGATATTCTCTATTCTGGTAATGTTAACCTAATTATGGCTTATCAACGATGTTCATAAAGCAACATTTAAATATAGTAGTTGTAACTAGGTATATTAAAAAATAACAAGTATCTTTCATAATTGATTCATCAAGACATTGTAAGGGCAATAATGATGATGATGATGATGAACATTTAAAATTTCAAAGAGACAGGGATATACCTTAGTCTAATGATCCACCATAAGCGTCACACAGGTGTAACAAAACGGAAGCATATCCACTCAAATCCAACCCTACCACTATTAAAAAGCTTAAACGTACTGAAACTTGATTAATAAAAAAAAAAGTTAGATTTATTCATAATAAAAAAAAATCTATTTATTAAGGATCTACAATTTACAACTGATAGAAATACATTGATTTGAGTTTTATTATGTTATAGTAGAGTTTAAAATAAATGTTATAGTAGAGTGTTGTATAACACACCTAGTATAAATAATATATTGCAAGTTTATTTGTGTATTCTTTGACAGACTTTAAAAATGGTTCCTAATTCTACTGATTACTGTATACATGTTCTATGATATCTTCATCAATGGTGGACTGATGAAAATAAATGATTTTTTTTCAGAATTATGAACTATATTTGTTAATACAATAACGTCGTCACTATAAATTGTAATGTTAATAGATAAATTAAGAAGGTTGAATGCGGATATTTATCATGTGTAATAAATGTTTTGTTTTATTTACAGGATGCTTTGATGCACAATGGCGAAGATCTGGTTAGATTAATAGAGAGAGGCGCCTCTATATTTATTTGTGGAGATTTAAAGAATATGGCGGTGGCAGTCAAAGATACGATTATCAATTGTTTAGTGAAATATAGTAACAAATCTCAAGAGGAGTCTAAATCACTTTTATCCAATATGCAGACAGAAAAGAAATATCTAGTGGATATATGGAGTTGAATAAAGATTTTTTTATATTTATCATAACATTCTTTCATTGATTTGTTGTGAAAAATTACTTTGGTAAAAATTTATATTTACGAATACACAATAAATTCTAACTAAAAAGAATGAGGAATTAGATAATTAAGTTATAGTAAAAATTAAAAGTTATTATTTTCAAGATACATATTACGTTTTTAAATTAAGCGCACGACGCAAGGTCGCCGCTCGTTGCTGTGATGTCACATTATCGCACTCTCGCAGAGTACTTCTGACCTGTATTTGGTTAAAAAACATTTAACATGTCGAATTCACAAACAATGAAGACACTTATTGTGTTGAGCCTAAGGCTATTTTGACTTGTGTTTAACACCACCAATCCACTTTGTGCCCAACATGCTGGTCGAGTACGGAATGATGGATGGAATAGTTTCATACATTAAGAATACCTGTGCTTTATCACCATCAATCCGCTTTGGGTACACGCAAGCCCAGTACGGAATGTTGGGTGAATTGATTCCATCTATCATGAAGATCTGTGATTTAGCATCACAAACTCGCATTGGAGCCACCACGCAGCCCTTTGATAACTGTTTATATTACCCACCCTACCAATCTGCAAGGGGCCCATCACGCAGAAGGGGTGTTGGGTGGATTGGTGTCATCCATTATGAAGCCTTGGGCTTTAGCACTACCACATGGACGGCACACGACACGACACGTACTGCAAGTAGGGCTGCCAGATGGTCAAGCGATGTGACGAACCCAATTGATATTTGTCATTATTGCGTATACAATTTTAATAGAAAAAAAAAATCTGATTCTATTGGTTAATCAAAATAGGTTTTTTCATTTTAGATAACTAAATAATAAATAGTCTATTAAAATCTACCGTGCGGTATAGATGTGTGCTATTCTATTTGGCTGGATTGGATTATTTATCAAAATGAAAATACTTTTAAAGTTTACAAAAATAATTTAATAGGCAAATCTCTAGTTATAAAATGTTCAAAAAGTGTCATTGGTGTATATATAAACTTAAGAACTAGACGCAGCAACAGTAATGTATAATATATAGACGCACAGTTCGTTGTGTCAATGATTGGCTAACTTATGTATAATAACCAAACTTACTTAGAACCTTACACCTAGTTTACACAGCAGGCACTCACGGTGTGAAGAATTAAATGCCCAATTATTTTGTAAAAAAACTCGCAAGAAATACTTATACAAATACAAATGCCTTTGATACTTTTCTAAGGCCCACATTTAAAGCGAACTTAACGAAATACGTCGATACACTATTAATACTAAATAAATCCTACTCATATTGTACCTAACCGTCACTAAAAATTTGTATGTGAACAAAATTAAAAATTTATTGATGAAAAATACTAAATACCAATATTGTTTGCACGGATGTATGATTTACAATTAACCAAGATTCATTTAATGAATGGTGTTAAGACGATCGTCACTTATGAATATTAAGATTTGTACTCATAATTCATTAAATATATACAAATAAAACATTTTAATTTCAATAGGTATATATAGGTAAGTAAATTTAAATTCATAAAGTAATTATAACAGCACAATGGCCGCTAAACCGTGAAGTATATGAAACTATAATTATGTTTAGGTTTCCAGACGGGGCGGTAAAACATAGAATTGAAGTTCACGATGGTAATTAACGATAATTGGTAGTGCACAAGTGTCACCTCGGCCTCGAAATCACATTATAGATACGTCCTCGAGTATACAAACTCGACGTCTCAATTCTATATAAAAAAAGAAGATTATTATAGAATCTATACTAATATTATAGGAGGAAAGATTTGTTTGCAATGAATAGGCTCGGGAACTACTTGACCAATTTTAAGAATCCTTTCACCTACGGGAAGCTACATAATATGCGGTGAACATAGGTTATATTTTATCCCGAAAAACGGCAAAAGAAATGAAAATGCGAGAGACAGTTAGTATGGGGAATTAAAACGTTACCATAGTAACCATTAATGAAACCCTAGTTAATGAAACAGTATTTGAAACCGAATACCGTCAACACATATGCATACACAAAGTCACTTAAGTGTTATAAGTGAAAAGTAGGTAATGTAGTTTGCGGTGATGGCATGTCCATATAAAATAGACTACCTATTTCGTGATACAAAGAAGGTCCAATTATTGGATTTGTTAATAATTAAATATTTCCACCTATGTTTCAATGGTCACTTACAAATATATATGGCCTCGTCGATTTGGTTCTCTGGTGGTGCAGTGCAGTCTTAAATCTATAAAACTTAATGCGTAATGCAGGTGACTGTTTTATTCGATAGTAGTCAAAAGTGAAACCTGATAATGCACACCTGTAATATTCATTTATGGAAACTTCTTTATTAAAGGTTTGTACATATAAGGTAATGTCACCTAATAAGGCCCAATGTTTTTTACCACTGGAGTGCAAAAACCTCAACCTTGACGAACGTTTTTTAACCTGCCTCTGCTTTTAATGGTCAGTCGATGCAGGACTGTAATTGAAACGCATTCTTGTTCGCAATTTTACATCCCAGCTGTCATAACAAGTGGGCCTTATTAGGCGAAATTACCTTATGCGGCATTTGAGTCACTCAAAAATTTAATTTGCTTTTTACACTTGAGAAAGTGGAAGTGTTTAGACGAGCAAGAAATTATAGCATAGTTGTAACGATTTGTCATCGAGCGTCGAGATAAATCACATTTAATAGATAGAACTAACATAACTGATCAAAACAATTATCTGCGTTATACATTCATGGTTAAGTTCAAATCAAACTTAATTATTTAGAAATACAAGTTAAACTTTTAGTTTTTATGTATAATTTTAAACATTACATTAATTATTATTGCCTGTTATAAGAATACATATTAATACATGTAGTAAATACAGTCTTAATTTCGGTTATAAACCTAGAAAAAAAATTGGTACCAAAAATTTTTTTTAAAGTCTCAAGGAATGTGATTGGCTAAAGAGAACAGCGGTCAGTTTATGTAAAATATTATACAAGATAGAGAATAACAACTGTCGATTAAAAACTAACACAAAGTTCTATATAAGGCTTAATTTTGAAGAGGAATTTTATTGTGAAACTGTAGTACTGATAAATTTTGCAGTCACTTAAGTAGTTAAGTTACATATCCTCACGTCAGAATCAAGCCCATAAGACTAGTTAAAAATAATTTATATACATTTTTGGCAAAATACTTAGTATGACTTTTAGACATAATAAATACAATATGTATATTATTATTAGAAATGATTTGATTCTTAAATTTAGGTATTTTATTTATTAATATATAAACGTAAAATTTTATTAATATCCAATTAAAATAGATAATGAAACATAAATGCAACAATATTTAAAGTATGATTAATTTTAACAACTAATTCCTTCATGGACAGATTTAATTAAGTAACCAATCGTTTTACTATTTATAGTATTCATAGTTTTACATAATAATTACACTTTTTCACGTCATATAAGACACAGTGTGATGTTAAAAATCGTTCTGTATCAGTAGCAGATATGATATCTTGTGCGAACATTGTGATAAGAAGGAAGCTATACGCCCTATGCCTATTATTAAATAAATATCTTGTGAATTTACTCCAGTGAATTATAATAATAAGCTTATCGCTAAACATCTTACACTTATTAGAGCCTTATATTTTGCAACTTAAATCATGCCTTGTTTAACTTATCTCTTAACTAATCCATAATGTTTACTCCAACAACATTTTATAGTTATCCAACTGAATTAAAAGAGATATTCTTATCCACATATCCACAATATTGGCACCACCATTACTTTCGAATAAAATTGCAAACATGTATAAAAAAGAAATATATGTATAAAATTGGGAATGGAAGAGTTACTACTGCGGTAATACTCAGTCATAATTTTTGTGGAGAATTTTCTGGGCAGCCTTGATCAATGGAGTGAGCGTTCTCAACTCCATGGCGCACTCTAGGAATGGGTGTTCCAAGAGTTCATCCGCTGTCGCCCTCAAATCTACATCGACTTGAAGACATTTGTCGAGGAAGTCTTGAAACTGAGGCGACAGAGACTCCCATCGCGGTATTTTCGGGCGTCCAACTGCTGCGATCAAATACAACGCCCTGAGAGGGGTCTCTTTCATGTATGGGGGTTCGCCTTCGATCATTTCTATGGCCATTATACCTAGGGACCAAACGTCAACTTTTTTACCATACTGCTTCCTCGTGACCACTTCTGGCGCCATCCAGTACGGTGTACCGACCATCGTCTGCCGTTTCTCATCGCCAACTATGTTAGCGCAAAAACCAAAATCGGTAACTTTTACTGTACCGTCCATACCCAATAGAACATTGTCAGATTTTATGTCCCTATGTATAGTACCTTTGGAATGTAAAAAGGCTATAGCTTGTAAAGTTTCGCGACATACCGCCGCTATTTGACCTTCCTTCATAACTACTTCAGTCACCACGTCGGTAAGCGACCCACCGTCGAGTAATTCCATAGCCACCCATAAGTGGTCATAGCTCAGGAACGCGTCCAGGAAATTTACCAAGTTCTTATGGTTGAAGCCCTTCAATACATTAATTTCATTGAGAATGAGATCTTTTTTTGATTGTTTAGTTAAATCAATATCTTTGATGGCAACCCTGGAATTGTCCTTATTGTCTATAGCGATGAACACAACACCTGCAAAAATGAGAAATTTTACTTATTAATAAATATGCTTTCTACACAGAACAATTATTGGCCATAGACTGTATCTATTTAATTCAAGCAATGTAAAATTTTAATGGAGAAGTATAATTAAAACGTTAATATTATTGATCTACACTAGTTGTTTGATTTTATGATGATTACCATGAACACATACAACGTGAGATTTATATGAACTCAGAGACAAACTTCAGCAGTCTATAAATCTCACAATATCTTTGTAACATAACATACTTATAGAATGTAATATTCCAACCTCACAGTGTACTGATTTAATATTACATCATATAATTTTCATATTGTCTCTAATTACACTTATGTCAGATGTTGCATGTCAGTCCATGACAGTTCATAAGGTATAATAAGTAGCATAGATCAGTAATATTTATATAAGTAGTATGCAATTTTTTTAGCAAATATTCATTTAAATTAATTTTTTGTTAACATTTATAATAACATATTTAAGCCTGTGTATAAGAGCCTTTATTATATTATATATTAATAATGATTGAGGAAACTTTGTTCATTAATATTTCTTTAGAAGTAGCTATAATTATATGGTCTGTAACAAATCTATAGGCTCAGTGTTAACTACTTTAGCACAGGGTATGATAATCCATTGACCTTAGCTAATGAACTAATAAAAACCTATAAATTTTTTTAATTTTGTAATACCAATTTATAATTGTTATTTATTGTTTGCAATTTAAATAAATAAACCAACTATAAATATACATAATAAAGCATACTATTTATTTGCTGTGATAATAGTTATGTATAATAGGTTGGAATTAATATCATCATTCAACGGATATCACAGAGAATGGTGTTATAACATAATTATTGCAACAAATAATTAATTTGTAATAAAGTCATTCAGATACAAAACTATCCTTTCATTATATTTTGGACAAACATTATGATTGGGATTTTGATATGTTTTAAGATACTCCCTATCATGAACATAATTAATAACATAAATAAAAGTAATTTAACTTGTTGATGAGACCTAAGAGGTGCTTAAACAGATCTTTATTACTATATGATCATTTGCATACATTATCACAAATAAAATGTTGAAATGTAAGCAAATACATAATAACATTTAATTCCCTTCATTACAGAGGTCACCTCAATAGAACAGGTTTAGTTTTATCCCAATTCTGAATAATTAATTAGTATAATATTAAATTACTTTTTATTATAGTTCTAAATATTAAAATTTAATATTTTATTTGATTTTTAAAGTAAAATTAAACTTCACTATCTTCCAACAGCTCTGATAAAATCAGTTAATAAAATATGGGAAGTGTGATTTCAATTTCCATCAATATTCACAACTAAGAATTAAAACAATTTATGTAACAGATGACATGAAACAGAAAAATACAATTCTTTATCAGAACTATATCGGTAGATCAATGATAGTGATTTATAAACAACCTATAAAATCAGAAAAATGAATCATGTATGTTGTGTTATGCCATTATGTAAAATCTCTAGTGATTCTACTGACAGAAACTAGTGATTTGATAAGGATATTAGCAAATCATCACCAAACCAAAACCATATTTAGTTTTCATCAGTTTCTATTTCTATAAAAAAGTAAGGTAACACAAGTAAAACTTAAAAATATTATAGGTTGTATACAGGATTATAAATACCTACATTTCTTTTGTTAATTTTTGTGTTCTGTGAACTTTTTTGTTATAATTTGACGTTTTGTAGATGAAAACTATCTCTGGTTTAGGTGATGCTGAAAAGGAGCCCACCTTTTTGTGTCAATGTCAAAAAATGTCTATGTTGTGTCTTAGCATTACATAGTAAATGAAAGAGGCGTTTACCTGAAGCACCAGCACCGAGTTGTTTGATTCTATCAAATCTCACATATGGGTCATCCTTATTGCAAATCCTCCTCAATTCCTCATATATTTCTTCATCAGTCAACGTAGCATTAATCATTTCTTTCTTCCTCAATATTGGACTTTCATCATCTTCTTCTCCGATGAGAGTCAAGTCTTCCACAACTGCAGATAGGTCCATAATGGCATCCTTTTTCTTAAGACTATGTTTAGTTGGCACCGCAGGCATAGTTTGTCTTTGAGCAAACATATCCACTGGACCAACATCTTCTTCACTACTCTGACCAATAGATAAGTCAGAATCTTGACTTTGATGAGCATTTTTGTGATCCAATAGCTTTTCTATCTCTAAGTCTTCCTTATTGATCTCTTCTTGAGTAACTATTGGTTTGAAAGGTTCATCTTGCGCCTTTTCTTTCTTTATGATGTACATATGAAGTTTGACAGCTTGGATAGCTGCGTCGAGGTTTTCATTTTGCTCGGCAGGCGTAATTTGTGCATTGAGTAACCGCTGCCAGGAAGTGGGCAGCCCTTCCAACATACCTGTTTCTGTATTTTTACTAACATGAATGTGCTGTTTAACATTCGTGGGCATACCAATTTCTGTAACTCGCTCATCTCTGTTTTGATCCTTTTTCTTGGAAAAGAGTTTTCCAAATACTCCACGACCCGAGCGCCCACTCATTGTGTTGATTTATCTATATTGTGTATTAAGCGACTAGGCCATTTCACTATTATTTGCACAAGTTAAACTACATAGCATATTCAAAATAGTCGTGAAACTTGATTTTATATCAAGATAGGAGGGGCAATAAGTTTCTAATCGAGGACGGAGCACTAAGGGACGGGAGAAGAGACACTTTATCATCTGTCAAAATTTCAATTTCAAATTAAAAAAAAAGGTATTTTAATGTTCCTTTTCAAGTAAGGACAAAATTGTAACAAAGTATTTTTACAGTTATATTAATGTTATTCGTTCGTTATAGATTACTTTAGTAACATATTTTGTTAAATCAGTATAAAATTTAAAATAAGACAGACAAATTTTATAATAATATTCATAATCCTTCGTTTGTCTAACATTATTGTCCACAACTGGAACGTATTTTTTTTTTGCCAGGTTGGTATAGATAAATGTGTATATTGGTATAACCGTCTTAATACTAGGTTTTTTAGGATGAATCATCTTATGGATCAATCACTGTTCAATCCATTTTCGTAAACGCAAATATATTTATTATTTATAATCGAATTGAAATGATCTGATTTGAAATGAATAAAAAATTGCCTAGATATGCGAGAATTTTTGTGGCCTAGAGATTCCATAGTTGCTTGTAAATATTGATTATTATCAATAAGCAGGTGGGTAGGTCTAAAAATATAATATGTTACACACAGGAAATAGTTTCAATCACAAAAAGACAAAAGTGAAGCACTTTAGGTAGATTTGTCACTAATAGAACCACAAAATTCGTAGGTATTTTTCAGTCAGCCTTTGGATCTCTGTGAAATGTCTTAAATCGTTGATGAATTTGGCTAATAATAATAATTCGGCTTAATTTATAGAGAATTATAATTAACGTTAATAATAGGTAGAGTACTATTTCACAAAAATATCAAGCGAAGTTTAAACGAAGAAAAAGTTATCCCTAGACTGATACGCGAGGCTATTTAAATTAAAAAAACATCCGAATTTTAATAAAGATGAAGGTTGGCATATCGACGCTTAAGAACCAAGATCATCTATCTACAAAAAATCGATTTTACAGGAGACGAAAAAAACGTTTCATATTTTTTCTACAACAATTTTTTTTATTTTTATATCTGATCAATTAATGGATAGGCATAGGAAATAAGGTGTTTGCATGTGTTTCAAGAAATCTTCATTAGTTTCAAGATTACTGTAGATAGCTGGTATTAGTTAAAATATTTGCGTATGTTTATGCAGCTAACTGTAATATAGATGGTATTGGCAAAGGAAATAATATAGTTCCAGCGCCTGACCTCCGCACAATGTATGCTCTTAGTACCTTCTTCAAGATACTGCAATGTCGAGGCTCAGAAAGCCCTTGCAAATTTTATTCACAAGCTCTCCGTCTATATTAGTTAGGCACCTAAGGTAAGAATGTACTGTAAAAACTTGTACCAATAACTTAGGAAGTGTTTTAGTTACGCGGTACACACTCACGCCGAGAAGACTCGCCGGACCTTGAAGAGAAATAGTTGCACCGTTTACACTCACGGTGAGTTCTCAATAGATCTCTCCGTTCTCGGATATGGATGACTTTACTAGTAAAGGCGCTTTGGTATACATGCACTAGCATGACTGAAAAACTGAAAAATGAGGCCCAGATGAGAGTGGATGGTACAAATTAATCCAAATAGAAAAAGGTCGTTTAATATACAATGAACACACTAATAATTAAATATTTAAACCCACGGCGCTCTGTACCTCATATGTTCATAAGATTTGAGACAAACTTTTCGATGGAGGGAACGAAACCATTACGTGCAACTGTCATTTCGATAAAAAAACCGCTGCAGATTTTCCGCGAGCTGAAAAGTTTTCCTGTAAGCCGTAACTTCGTCTACCACACAATACAGCGGTACAAAGAGACAAGTTCACTGCAGAATCGCCAGAGGAGTGGTCGGCCACGCTCTGTCAGGACGCATGCGAACATCAAAATCATCCGAGAGCGACTTCGCCGAAATCCATGTCGCACTCAGAAGGAACTCGCTCTGCAGACTAATATTTCGCGCGTTTCAGTGAACAGATTACTGAAATATGATTTTAAGGTAAAGGCCTATAGCCGAAGAAAAATTCAATTTATAAACGATCGTCTTCGTAAGTTACGACGCGAACGTTGTCCATTGCTGCTGAGGAGACGTGATGCCAGGAACTCTTCACCGATGAGAAAATTTTTACTGGCAAAGAAAAGTTTAACCAACAAAACAAATGGACGCTAAAAGTAGCAAGGATGTCCCAGCTTCTGCACGGAATTGAAATTGAAATTCATTTATTCTAGAACAGACACAAGACACAGTTCATGTAAAAAAAAAATGATAATACACAATACTAGACAATAAAATATAATAAAACATATGTGTGTGTGTGTGAGTGCGTGCGTGTGCGTGTGTGTGTGTTTTTTATTTATTAAAATATGCATTAATGAATGAAATTGAGAATTGAAAACACTACATATCTATAATAATTACTAATTAAATTGAAGACCTACAAATAAACCACAATGCAATTCAATTTGATTTAAGAGCACTTATGACCATTGACCATTGAAGAGAAAAAGCCACACCACAACATTCAGTCTGCATCACACAATATCCTACAGATGTTATAAATGCGAAAGTTTATGTATTAACGTTTGAAAGAAACCTATATATAAGAAATATCCATGTTGATATTACCCAGTCCTTGCTGCGCATTCATTAAATATCTACGCGAGTGGTTTTTAAAAGTAAGCAAAGTATCACAATATGCACAAAGGCAGAGGAATGTTGTTCCAAATTTTGGAAACTGCATATCAGAAACTTCCTCTGAAGGAATCTCTCGCGCACTCCTTCATACGAAATTGGAAATTGAATTGAAAAGGTGTCACTCCGCTCCATTTCTGCCAAAAAGATGTCGAGGTGAAAGCCAAGAATTATCAGAGTGACATTTTAGAGCCTGTGGTGAAACCCCTGTCTGATACGTTATTTCATAATAAGGATTGGGTTTAGCAAGACTCGGCGCCATCCCATAAGGCAAAAAGCACCCAAGCTTGGTTGAGGGAGAGTGTGCCGGCCTTCATCTCGGCGGACGAGTGGCATCTCTTAAAGCGGGCAAAAAATCGACAACAAACAGAGAAGATGCGAACCCGAGAACGAGAAGGCGAGAAACTTATCACATTCTCGTGTCTCGGGTGTTGGGACTTCTCGGCGTGAGTCTGTAGGGCCTATGTATGGGGCCTATTATGTTGTAACGCATAACAGTTCATTTTGCAACTCGCAATAAGAACGAATAATTACGTGTTATGTAGATAGGTGGTATTTTCATACAATTATTACGACACGTAACTAAGGTGGTATTGGTATTTTCTCATAACTCCTTATATATTGCGAATTTGAAATAATCGATTAAAGGAAACGATGCGTAAATTAACCATGAAAAGAACTGCATTAAAAAGTCAAAATCGCCAAAAGTGTAGATAGATGGTCTTGGTTCTTAAGCGTCGATATACTACCAACTTGGGATCCAGTAATTAGTCAAATAAAATCTCAATCCAGATCACACGTAAAACTAAAAGATACAGTTAGTTCATTATGTAAATATCAATCCAAAGGGCAATTCACTTTTTTTGTCAGAGTTCTTCTCAGACAAGACTCCCAAATTTGAAACTGGTAGCCAGGGGTAAATAAATAAGTCAAATGTATTTTTAAAATAATTTAATTTAATAAACGTTGCCATAAAATATAAAAAAATGTATTGTGAATGTGTCGAAATGTCAATAAAAGCAAATTTAAACGCGATGAAACCTTATAATGGTGTTTCTTCTGATATTGAATTGCATTGCTTTTATTATTCATACAGGCGTTTTTAGAAAGTATTTCGCCGAAAGATGTTATTATGTTACTATTCACTATTCAATCTCTTAGGTTCTGCAATCGTGACAGAGTTAATGATCGCAATTTTATTAAATTTGGTCGCAAACTCATAGCGATCGTAATTTAACCATAATTGCAAGTCTCTACAGTTAAGTATATAGTTATTTGTTAGGCGCCAAACAAGTTCAGCTGTCAAATTAGCGATATTCGTTAGTTTCCTAGCGATTGAGTTTGATAGCTCGGTCATTAAAGTTTACGATCGCTTAGCGATCGCAAACTCTGTCGAGAATGTATCCCTAGGTTTCGCTAGTTCTTTTTACACAGTGCTCTCGCTTTGATTATTATCTTACTAATATTATAAAGGTGAAAGTTTATAATTTCGAATTTTAGTGAAAACTAAAAATCTTCTAAAATAGCTTCAAATTAACTGTGAACATCCCATAATGTACGATTTACTTTATTGGGAATAAAGATTTCATAATTTGTAAACACAAATTGATTATCCTATTTCAATAAAAACAATAAATATTACTGCAAAATTACTACAGAATATCATGCACCAGTCGTCCGTGCTCAGTTTGTTCGGCTGTGTAGCAAATTTGTTTGTATTTTTATAGGCCTCTTAATAACTTTGTTTTAACTCAAGCGACGTCATTACATTCCTTTTATTAAAATTTAAAAATGATTTTAACTATTATCTACGTCCTGGGTTTTCCAACAATATATCGCACTATAAACTAAGACAACTCAAAAACTAATGTGGAGGTCTGACAATTACATTTGTTTACGTGTCAAGAGCGCGACCACTGTTGATTCAACAAAAGAAAGCGAAAGTTATCTAGCGGCTCATCCCCGAACCCCGAAATATTGGATAGATGCGTATGATCACTGAGTATTTGAATATTGTACTAAGTCAAAACTCACTCAAATTTTTGAGTTGTCTCAGTTTAGATTTATGTGTGCGATATCCTTGATGAAATTTGGTTTTAGCAACCCTAACCAATACTTAGTTACATAAATTCATAGGCCTACAATATTTATTTCATTTTAAAATCGATTGCAATTTCGTTAATTTGACGTTAGGTTGTCTAAGGCAAGTGTTAGACGTAAATATTACTTTAAGTTACAAGTTTTTATTATGTATCTTATTAAAATCATCATTTGTTCTGAAAGCGTTTGTGACTTTATAAATATAGATTTATACCTTTGAAAGAAATTGCGATAGATTATGAAATTAGACGATTAGGGCCACTGGTTAATGATTTCAAAAGTTTTTGCCGAGTTGAAACTGTAATAAGTGTTGATATTTATCAGCTGCCGTTTCAATCATTTGTGTTATTTTTTCTTTCTTTGTTATTGCACTGCTACATATATGTTATGCCTTAGCTATCCTTCGCAATGTTTGCTCTCTGTTTACTGTCTGTTCAGTTTCATTTAGTTGTTAGACCATATCATATAACACTGCCATCAATTTTGAGCTTTCTCTGTTTGACTATTAAAGTTCAAAATCTTTCTTGTTGATTCTATACCACAGAATACTTTTACTCCAAGTTGATTCTATACACTATGGTCAGAAGAAAGTAATGAGCACGTGTTACTGCATCCAATGTTTATTTCTCCACCAAAACTGCCTTTCGTAAAGTGTTATCTTTAACGCTATAACATAATTAGGTAGCGGCCATATGGAAGCAAGAGCTTTGAAATCCGTTTGTCCGTCTGACGAACTGCTGATAAAAACAATATCCATAGGTTGCTTTAAGAGCCATGGATAGATAAGAGTGAAGAGTTCTTATTCATTTAAATATCGATAAAATAATGATCATCGATACTTAAATATATTAAAGGTTTATTTTTATCCACCAGAATATTTACACTTTGCTAAAATTTTTAATCGATTTCAGAAATCTGTCCTGTTTTAAATTGACTTCAAAAAAGGAAGATATTCTTAATACGATTGAATTTTTGCCTGTGTCATAAACACACCTATTTTCCCAAGAAAGGTACCCTTGTTTTCTAGAATCTTCTTTTAAAGTTTTTAACAAAGTTTAAAAAACAATAAAACACAAAACTAAAGAATGAATAATTTAAGCTTAATGTTATTGGAATGTATTTAGAAATCTTGTTGGAGTTGGTTCCGCAGCAATTCTAAAAGCATTCTTATCGAAAATGTAATAATAATAATTATGTCTGTATTTTCTTATCTAATAGCTTTCGAGCCAGATGGTAGAACAATGTTTGACATTGATACTTACTCGTCGTTAATTGTGTTATTGATTTAATACGATTTACAAGTGATATATTTATTAGTGTGAAAAATTGCTAAAAATTGTAGTTTTACATATAACGTAAGGGAATTGTAACGAGAGACTTTACGAAGAAGGAAGTAAAAAGAGCAGTCCCATTCTATGAGGACTCCATTATTTCCTTATTCATTTTGTCATGTCGTGTTACCGTTTATTTGTAGTAACGTAGCTATAAAATAACAGCCAAGACGTTTGGATTGGCAGAAGTAATATAAATGATACTGAAAAGAAAATCAATCATTTGAAATTTCCATTAGGAAAAAATTGGGATTTTTTTTTATAGCTTAATTAAATAGCTTTTCAATATGGCGATGAAAAACAATATTGGGGTGACAAGATTAGTTTCTGGATTCAATGGACCTAAAAAATAATGAGTAGCTCGGTGGCGTGGTGGATAAGCGCCGCGGCCCGCGATCGTAGTCATTAAGCAACTTTCGCAAGGGTCAGTTACGGGATGGGTGACCAAAAAATTATTATCTCGAGGTACTCCGTGCTTCGGAAGGCACGTTAAGCCGTTGGTCCCGGCTGCATTTGCAGTCGTTAATACCCTCCAATCCGCATTGGGCCAGCGTGTAGGGGCATGGCCCATCCTCCTTAACCATCCATAAGGAAGGCCTGAGCCCCTGCAGTGGGGACGTAAAAGGGATGGTGATGATGATGATGATAATTGATAATAAAAATCATTATTTTTTTACACACTCAATTCGACTGACCTCTTTTGCACGAGATGTTTTTTGTTTTAAAGGGTTTGTTCTCAAGGAAGTTTCACTTAAATCGAGTCACGCATATTATGCGTCCCTATATTTCGATGATGATGATTGGATAACAAACAAATTCCAGAACAAAACAATTTTTGCAAAAGACCAAATAAAAAAATCGAAAAATAATTCCTAAAATTAACATCAGAAAACTCCATTTGAATTCTGGCGAGGGTTTGCTTGTCATGCTTTTAGCCTCCTGATTTCTGGAATTTTTTAACACCTTTGTAGTTTTTAAGATTTTTTTTTCGATTTTTTATTCAGTTTCGGATTTTACGACGTTCGGAAAAACAAAGAGAAAAACTGTATCGATAAAATATCATGATGACGTAATGACTTGGTAACGACAAAGAAGTCTTCTAATATAGAATAGTCTTCGGTTATCGATAATGTTTTTCTGGAATGCGTACCAGGACTACCAGCAGCGTACCGTCATACCGCCCAGCGCGCATGCAGCAGGGATAGTAAACAATTCTTTCTCTGGCGCGTTATTTTTAGGTCAATAGCTTTTGAATTCGCTCATCGTTTAGTTGTACTAAATGAAACGTTCACGCCTTATGCGCGTGAGCACCAAGAATATTTTACTACATTAATTGAAGTTTAGAGTTCCTATAATAAGATGATCAAAAATAACTTTACCTATTTATGTTTTTTTATTGAAAAAAAGTTTAATTTATTGAAGAAATTAAAACTATTATCCTGTTTTTTTTTTTAAATTGCCATTAATATAATTTTTCTTCATACGCATCATTATACTTCAAAATTTTTTAATAAATCCTCAATGAATTATTATTAGGAACTTTTTTGTGAATTACTTTGTCCATTGGTAAAAAGGTAATGTAGTCGTGTTTATAATAAGTGGCAACGTAAGGAAGGATTGCTCAAAAATACAAATAATACATTTTTGAGGATATATTTTACCTATAGAATAACACAATGCAATCTAAACTTTTAGCGACTAAGTAAGGTTGAAGATGTAATTTGTACGAGTACCATAATCATATCAAAAAATTTCGAAGATATTTAACTGATTTCACAAAAGGTTGTCAATTCTATTATTTTTTTTTGTATATGATCCAGAACTTCGTCAATCGTGGTTTTTGATAACTTTTTCTGTTTAAAAAGACACATTATCTCATAAAAAATTCATGAGGTTTGGATCAGTAGTTACTTTGTTATCGTGAAACGTTTGTAAGTTTACACATCGTTATGACAATTTCTTTTCTATGAACAATTTTTTTTTAAATCCAATAATACCTCTTAATAACTAAAAAGGCGGTGGCCAAATTCAAGAAACATTTGGGATTCGGGCGAGATTTTGCTGCCCGTACCTTTCCTGTGCTTTTAACTAAGTTCAATTAAATTTCACATCGTATCGTTATTTTATTTATTTAAGAAGTCAATTTATTCTTGTCAACTTGTTCAACATTATATACACAATAAAAATGTAACTGATCGCTGTCTGTAGGATATTGTAGGACACGAGAAAAACTATTATTAGGGGCATCTATCAATGTATCTATCAATCTAATAAAAGTTGAAACAATGATTTTTTAAAATTTTGTCTGTGCACGCTAATTTCAAAAACAGCTTAACCGATTCAAATACTGTTTTCACTGTTTTTTTTTGGTAAACTTCCCTTAACAGTCAGTGTTTATTTTAATCAATCTGCAGGTTCATAAATAAACAAGTTGTATCAGTAAAAAGCATTTTGTTCGACAAAATCGCTATAAATAATCTTTTTACTGAAATAAATATTATCTACTAGCTTTGCGTCAGGAAAAGATCTCTGAAGTGAAATAAAAAGGAGCCTCTATATGTTCAGAATTATCAGTATACTAATTTTCATCAACATTTGTTCAGAAGTTTTTGCGTGAAAGTCTAACAATCATACATCTATAAATACATATACAAACTTTCCCATTTATAATATTAGTGGGATATTTTTGTATGCGTAAGTTTATTATCATCATTTATGAAGGCTTTCGATGATTCTAACTGTTAAAGTAGGTTCATAATCTTAGTAAAGATATAAGTGAGTATAGCTTAATTATTTCCATTAAAAATTATAATTATATAGTATAAAGCATTTGTGTCAATGAAATCATTTTTATACGTTTACGAATATCTAGATAGGTTTCCTATACAATGCTGCTTTCTATGAATTCATTTCAAATATTCATTTCGTTTAAGAGGTATTCAAGTAGGTATATATGAAGTTTTGCTTTTTGATTCCATGTTAGCAATATTGTGGTAGACGGTGAAGTCACGGCTTGATGCACCAGTGAATACAGGCCCCAGACAACTCGAGATTCGCCAACAATAGTATTGTAACTAACGGTCGTTTAAATTACTGGCATAGGAATAAAAGTACACTTTAAAATTTCTTATATGTCATTCTATAAGAAAACTCATATCATATAAGAAAACTCATCTTGAAAATTGCAAAAGTTGCGGAAATTCTATACCTATGTTTATAAATAATATATTTAGATAGTTTTCTTAATCAAATTGCAAATTTTCAAGCAAAAAGAAAAAACACATCTTTCCCCTAATGAAACTTTTATTCCAAAATTTAGATAATACCTTCTTATTTGTCTGCACAAAATTGAGTTAAGGGCGCTTAAACTAAAATCACTAATTGTAAATGAACGAAAAAAGTCAGATAAACTAATTTATGAAGAGAAAACCAATTGAGAAAGTAGTTTAAAAGCTTTCTAATAGTAAATGTAATCTTATTTATATAGATCCGTTTTGTCTCAAACATTATATTATAGAAAAATTTAAAATCAATGAACTTGACTTATTATTATCTCAAAGAAAAACGCCTAAAAATACACTGAGTCGCGAATCAAACCCACAACCTTTCGCATGCGGGACGATTGTTCTAACCTCTCAGGTAGCTGTAAGCATTTTTCTTTATAATAAATATCAAGACATTAGCATTGTGAGTGCGTGATAAAATATAATAGTAATAATAACTTATTTGTTCAGTCTCGTATAATGCGTCCGTTAGCGTCATACAGTCGCGGCGCGGCTGGGCGGTCGCCGCCCACTGAAATCAGTCTCGACGTCTACTCCGCGCGGTCCGCCTGCCGTTTGCCGCGACCAAATAATTTAACTAACCCCTTCAAAACTAACCCCTTGAATCATAGAAAGTGAAAAAAAAGGCGCGAGTATTCGAACCTTTTTATTTTTTTTTGCGGGAAACGGTGACACGCTGTTAAAGTTCTGAATTCAAAATTTTGTGTTTCGATAGTGATAAGGGTGACAATATTTCGGAGGATTACAGGATCTAACCAGGATTCTTGTTGAGTGAGGTCTATTTCATTTTTATATACTCTCTTTATTTATTTTTTTAATATAGGTATTTCGCATATATTGTTTATGATACCCAATTAATTTTGTTTTAAACGATATTTTGAAAAATATTAAAGCGGACTTAAAAAGAACTATTCAAATCTAATTTAAGGTAGGTTAACTTATTATATAATCATTTTAAATGATTACTCTATTTGTTCTCAAATAAAATTTTGGAAAATTTTGAATCTTCTTAATAATTTTGTTCAAATGATATTCATGAAGATGACACACTATTTTTATTTATTTAGACATTTTATTGAAATTACACCACATAGAATGTTTAACAAAGTTATTCTAATATACTGTTTGTGTAAGGTTTCAGGATTAATATATTTAAATAATAGCATAGCCGTACAGAACTAATTAATACCCACCTATATCGCTAAAATTATTAAGGCTAGACGCTATCGTGTGGTTTTAGACATGAATATTAGGGCTTCATTTTTGTATTATTAGTTTAGTTGGGGTAGCATCGCGTGACTTCCAACTTAGGGTAACCACGACCCTACGAGTTTTCATCAACCTACAATAGTAGGCGTATTAATAAACGAGTCAGGAAATAAAACTTTCAGCTTCTGGATTAGGGGTGAATTTTCCTAGACAAGATATATACATTCGTACTGGTGTATAAGACTAATTTTCATTATAGCGAAATCGATCGTTTCATGAGCAATGAAAATAGATTTTACGTACTATTTCATTCTTAATAGAATGAAAAAAGGCGTGAGTAACGTTAGTTTGCGCATAAAAATTAAACCAAATTGATTCATGGCTAATTTAACATGGAGAGTGTTCATCAATTCGACGTGAATAAGCATCTTATAAACTCAACTGTCCTATGAAAGCGTTTACTCGTCACCTACAGAAATAAATTTATGCCCTAAACACAAAGCTGATGAAAACATTTCTATGATTGTTGCATATGTTATTAAGATAATTATTCTTGTATTTCTATTGATACACCATACATTGAAGAAGTCAAGTTATTCACTTGGACACATGATTTATTTTATTTAATAATGATTTTTTCTTGAAGATAATTCAGATTGCTAATGATATCGATAATACTATTTATTATGTTTCTTTTGATACTTGCTAATTTTTGGCTGCATGTACATGTTTATGAATACGAATAAACATAAAAAGCAATTATGTCTTTTCTTCACTTGCTAATTGTAAACATTATAAATAATGGATGCAGCCAGAGGTAAAAGTATCGCGTAGGTGGAGTAACAAGTTCGCAATGATAATTTAAAGTAGCATCAAATCCTGAGTTTGTTTTAAGGATTACTTTGAAACAATCAATTTTTCAACTCTTTTTACATATTATGTGCCATAGTATTCATATGATCGTTACGTGATGAATATGTTAGAAATGGAGATGATCGAAAAAGTATAATATATCACACAGATTTTAAACCCCTATGATTTAGAATTAAATTTGGTATAAATCGGTTAAAGAGGACTTGTTGTAAACCGTCGTGCCGTCAACTGTAAATAACATAAAATTTACTTAAGGTGGTTTCGTAATAATTTAATTTTATGTGCACACAAAAAACGGGCTCAACTTGTTTATTAACAATTATTCATTTCTGTAGTCTATTGCTATGAGTTTATCACTTAGTTTATGTTGAATAACACCGTATTTCTGAAATATGTCCTTTTAGCCTTAGATTATGACTATAAAATTCACACAAACACACACACACAAAAAGATTGTCCATGAAATTTAAAAAGGGTGGTCACTGTATAATCTCTATTGCTGTTTAGCGGTTCAGCTCTTACCGGTTTTATGATGCATTTCAATGTAAGAAAGTTGTTCATTAAAAATTAATAGAAACATTTTTGGGCAGGCAAGTGGAAATTTTAATCTGTAATTAATTTAATCTGCAATAAAATCGGATGAATTTGTTTCATATATTGTGCAGTGTATATTATTTCGAAATCAATGTCTGTTAATGTCAAGCAATTGTCCAAAAATTATATTATCGATTTGTTAATTAACCTTTTTAATTTCCATTTTGTAAGGAGAAAAACCAGAAACACTTTACTAGCGTTGTTTTTTCTCCTCGTTTCGTTTCATACAGACTAATTACACTGAAAAATGAAATATTAAACGTTATTATAGTAAAAATAAAAGTAGTGACGCAAACAAAAACACTTCTAGTTTTTCTTTTTATTTTAACCTATAATATATCATACTAATATTTAAATTACGCATACTTATATTTGGTTTGGTCTAATTTTATTGTAAACGAGTTATATCACCCGTGTACGATGTAGCTTCCCGTATCCCCTACAAACAAACAAAATAAAAACTGGACGCTAATACATAAAAAAACTGCATTTTAAAATAAAGTTATATACCAATATTGTATCTTATCATAGTTCGTATTAGCGGTTCTATTCATATTCCATACAAATAGTAAATACTTTGGAGTTTCCTCTTAGTTTGGCACTCATCCCGCTTGTCTAGAATTGCGAAGGCCATTATAAACATAATCATATTTTACATTCACAATACTGGAAAAGATTGGAAAATATTCATGGAAAAAAACCACTTCCAGATCCTTTCCCAATCCCATCTCAGAGTACCAGGGACAAAGTGGATTTTTTAGGCATTTTTTATGCATACACGTGAACGGCTTCGGTGGAACTTGTTTTTTTGTGGATTATGTCGAATATAAGAATGAGTATGTGTATTTTTTGAAGTTGTTTGGAGCGATATACATAGTAGATATACATACCGGCAGATATACATAGTATCCGATGCATGTTGAAGCATTGTACAACGACTACTCAGAGCCGGCTATGCTTATTTACCAAGAAGTTTATAAGTGTATTTAAAAAAAAGATATTTGAAATAAGAATATGTTTTCATTAGTTTTTCAAATTAAACAATAAAAGTTCGTGCGCAAAACGCGTTTTTACCAATAAAAGTTCGTGTGAAAAAGTTTTCATATCAACCTCACAAAAATCGAATGGCTGAAATGGCGACAATAATATGCTGTAATATTAATGAACTGAAAATATAAATTAACTTAATGAAGTAAGTAGGTTCAGGTAACATTAGAATGTTACGTCAACAGGTGTGGGCGTCGGGCGAGGTGAAGGACTCTGTTATTGTGTGTTTTCATTCAAATACAGCTTTTCGTATATATTTATTGTGTTATTGGAAATATTAGAAATTCTATGGAAAGACAAGGTTCTCATTTTATTGTTACATCCTATACGGTTAACAACCTTAAAAGTAATTTGAAAATTCAATTCTTTGATGGTATTATTTAATAAAAGACAACTTTTTACCTACTATATCTATTTGATAGGACTGTACGCGGATTTGGTATTAGTATGTTTTTTGTTTTTCTTTATTAGAAAAGACCAAAGAAAATTCTTGATTCATTGTTTACTTTTATTAGTATGAGAAGGTATTATCAAATCTACGGCGGGAGACCTTATACTGAGAAGAAATGGAAAAAATTTTGAGCAAGGACTTTTTTTTCTCCCTGTTTTATTTCACACAGAGAAGTCCAATTAAAATTAAAAAGTGACTTCCTTTTAATATGAAGTCACTTTTCATTACATAAAAGATTAGAAAAAGAGAATTCTTTCGCTATTGACCGATATATAGCGTCATACAATGTTATTAAAAATGCAATCATATAAAATAACCTTATTTTAAACTAAGGGTTGTTGGGGTTGTTGACTTATACGAATCCCTCCCCAACCTAAAAAACCAAATGTTGCCAAGCAATAAGACGCAAACAAATACCCTTAACACAATTTCATTTGAATTATTTCCGTGTGGAACATGATACGAGTACATCCGAATCGATAGTAAGAATTAGAGTTTCTGGAGCATGACATCAGAGTTGTAATACATTCTCGTCCAGCGTAAAGATTTAAATTCAACATTCTATAGGATTAACTATGAACGTTTCGAAACTAAAATTATAGTGTTCTAGATTTAGTGAATCTCTATTCATTCAAACGACAATCTACGTTCCATTATATTTTCGCCAACAGTGGACCTTTTTTGATATGTTTATTTTAAACTATAAGTTAAAATAAATATCATTGGAAATGAACAAACATTTCCATGAGGATTAAATCGGTAGTTTTATATCCTGATTTTTTTAAAGTTTAAAGTTTTATTTAACAAATATTACAATACTAGCTTTCCGACAGCGGCTTCGCTCGTGCGATATGTATATATGGAATAAAATGTCTATATATTAATTCAGGCTTAGAATTATCTTATATTACAATACTAGCTTTCCGACAGCGGCTTCGCTCGTGCGATCTGTATATATGTAATAAAATGTCTATAAATTAATTCAGGCTTAGAATTATCTTATATTACAATACTAGCTTTCCGACAGCGGCTTCGCTCGTGCGATCTGTTTAATGGAATAAAATGTCTATAAATTAATTCAGGCTTAGAATTATCTTATATTACAATACTAGCTTTCCGACAGCGGCTTCGCTCGTGCGATATGTATATATGGAATAAAATGTCTATATATTAATTCAAGCATGGAATTATCCGTATATTAAGTTTCATCGAATTCCTTTCAGTAGCTTTTGCGTAAAAGACTAGAACACATTACTTTCGCTTAGATAATATTATATTAGTATAATATGGTTATTTTATTAGAATATTTATCAAAAACATTTTCATGTAAAGTGTTACCAAGCCAAGAGCATGTGACTCGCTCTGTCAAAAAGTTATCTGTTCTCGTGTAGAGCTAGAGCCAAGCTTAGATTAAACATGTCAAAAGGTACACTCTTTTGATGAAATATCTATGCAGTGTTTGTGTTTTTTAAAAATTATAAAATACCATTTCATTTATATACTTTATTTAATAGGACTAGTTAACATAAACATTATATTTTTTTTTTCTAAAGTGTGTCTTCAGTAAATACTACTATTGGACAAAATGCCTAAACCATCAAT